TAAGTCTCGGTGCAGATCAAAGCCAGTGTCCACCAATACTAGTTAACACATACACACACACACACACACACGGGGCAGCAGCAGGAGGTTGGTTGGTTTGGGTGCCTGGATGGCGAAGGGGCGTGCGTGCGAGTGAGTGAAGAGAGTTGGTTGGAGGTGTGTGTCTGTGGGCCCTCACAGCTGCCCGGCACACCACACACTGCTCCCCCTACCACCACCACCACCACACCCGCCACACTCCTGCGCCGACACCCACCACCACCACACATATATTCAACCAGGATAACATTGTAATAAGAAGTAAAGTACATTAAGGGTGAAAAGAAACATTTAAACAAGATTAGACTGGTAATGTTAAGAGGGAGACTAAGACGAGGACAAGTGTATCAATGAGTCACTTGCTTTATGGAGTCGGTATAGTACTTGTGCCTCATAGTGCACTATTACTCTCAACAGTAGCAACAATAGTGCATAACAAACAGGCACTATACAATCTCTTTTAAGTAAACACAACATAACACTCAATAACACCACATCACAACACAGGCACCACAACACAACCCCACAATTATAACAATACATAAACCAGTTCACTATACAGTACTTCCACCACACACACACTTCACCAAACTCAACATCAAAACATCAGGAGTCATTTCATCTTTTTTCCTAACAGTCCAATCTCGTTGATGGGTCATAACTTGTTTTAATTAAGGCACTTCTGACACAATGATGAGACTGATGACTATTTCACTCACAGTACAAAGAATCTTTTACTAATTTCGATTTTCCTCGACATTATATAGAGCCTTATTGTGAAACGCTTTTAAAGTGTTACTGCCTCCAGCTTGTTTGAAATATGTTTGTTCTTCATTATTATATGAACGGCATGAGAAGTGAACGCCATGAGAAATGAATACCCTGAGAAATGAACGCCACGAGCAATGAACACCATGAGAAGTGAACACCCTGAGAAATAAAGTCTTAAGAAATGAACGCCATAAGAAATGAACACCATGAGAAATGAATACCCTGAGAAATGAACGCCACGAGCAATGAACACCATGAGAAGTGAACTCCATGAGAAGCTAACGCCATGAGAAATGAACGCCATGAGAAATGAACGCCATGAGCAATGAACACCATGAGAAGTGAACACCGAGAAATGAACGCCATGAGAAGATAACGCCATGAGCAATGAATGCCATTAGTCTTGAGAAATGAACGCCATAAGAAATGAACATTACATTTATGTTTGATAATTCTTTGTTTGTATAGTTAGGAGGAAGGAGTCGGGGGTGGGGGGGGGGGATAACCAAGACGGCCTAAAGCAAGCTGCCGAGTACCCCTCAAGAACACTAACGTGACAACCCACCTATACCGTATACATCCCTAGGAGCACACACACACACACACAGTCTCTTCCCAGAACAAGCAAATAAAACACAAGAAATTAAAACGACCAAATTATAGGAAGCTAACCACTGCTTAACTCGACCCTGGCCTACAAGTGTCCAGTCTATCCAGTTATTGCTCAACATTTCCACCTGCGTCACACTTTCTTGTTCCATTTAATTGTACCATTGTTTTTGTTTGTTATATTATTTGTTTGTACCATAGATTATTTGTTTGTTCCAATATATATATATATATATGCTGATAACCACAAGGAAAGAAGAAAACACGAAGTTCCCAAGCGCTTTCGTGTAATTCACATCTTCAGGGGTGAGTACAGACTAAAGAGGAGTACAGAACAAGGTGTATATATACAGAGGAGGTGAGACCAGGTCCTAATGGTCAGGTATTAGGTAATGACCCTACTAATCTTTAAATAGCACACAACGGTCATAGTCAGGTCAGAGGTAAGGTATTTAACCTTCTCACCTGGTTACAAATCTTCTTAATTACAAATTGTCGGTTTGTACATGCCGTTACTCAAATTCATGTTGAATTTGAGTGAACAGCATATATATATATATATATATATATATATATATATATATATATATATATATATATATGAGAAGTGTCACTAAAACGATATAGTTCAGCTAAAATTCCAATAAAAGGATATATTCCAGCTAATATCCCACCACAACGATATATTTCAACATGCCTGACGAAACGATTAAAACATCAGCCTCTCCACTGAGTAAAATTATATATCTACAGCAAAAAAATTTAATAAAAAATCCCACTACAATGATAATATTTCCAGCTAAAATTTATCAATATGTCAACATAATGAACGAAACGATAAGAAATACAGTCTCTACGGGGTACCAGAAAAAAAAAACAGGTGGTGGCTTACAGTTTCGCTCAGCAACACAACAGGGGCCCCAAGTTCCCACCCTGGAGGAAGACTTAAAGTATAAAGGAAACTACACCCGCCAAACTTTCCTCTCCAGACCCTCTCCCCCTACCTTCCATCCCCTCCCCCACCTTCCCTCTCTTCCCACACCTTAGACCACCCAACTCCCTTCACTCCCACATCTCAAACACACCCCCTCCCCTTCCCCTACTACCTCGGGTATCCCCCTCCTTCCCCACCTCTAATTACAAAAGTTTGTACAATAAATTTCCTTTATAAATTATCTTAAAAATATATATATAATTAACATCAATATAATTAAATTACCTTCATTATATCAAAGAGCAAGAGATACGGCTACATCTGTTGCTTTATTACTTTACAATTTACAGATACGTATGATATTAATTATTCCTCATCGATGGTGAATTAAGCTCTCTCTCTCTCTCTCTCTCTCTCTCTCTCTCTCTCTCTCTCTCTCTCTTCCTTTAAATACACACACACACTTTGATCATAAATAGACACAAATACAAACACATACAAGACAATTGGGGAAAAAACAAATTAACATCGGTGATAAGAATATGGCAAAACTTAAAAATCTGCAAAGAGAGAGAGAGAGAGAGAGAGAGAGATCATTGTGAGAATGGCGGAGAAAGTTGGAGGAATGGGAAAGGAAGAGAAAGGAGGGGAAAGAGGCATTGAAACTTGGGGAAGAGAGAGACGACGGAGTGATGGTTGGTGATGAGGATGAGGTAGGAGGAAGACGACGAGGAAGACAAATGAATGTGAAACTCGTAGGAATGAGAGAGGGGGAGAAAATGTGCGTGTGTGTATGTACTCTTGTGCAAACAAAATGACACCACGAACGAAGGCTTTGATAAAGACCCATGAGGCATCCCTCACATTATACGTGTCTGTGTGTATGTATGTGTGTGTACTGTATGTGCAGGTTTGTGTATGATTGAGTGTGCGTCTGTTGATGTGTGAGTGCGTATGTACTTGCATGTCTGTGTATGTATGTATGAGTGAATGTGTGTAGTATCCATTAATTCTTATACAGTAATGTGTAGCTAAAAAACACCCACCTGAGTAAGTGACAACAAAACCAACACAACAACTCACTTTATAAAAACAAGACGAATTGAACTTTTACATAATAATAAAAAGGAACACATGGCTCATTCCTCACCACAGAAAACGGGAACAAATTATTTATGAAAAATAAAATGAAAGAACTTGAGTTGATGGATGAGATTCGAGTTTAATTGATATATATATATATATATATATATATATATATATATATATATATATATATATATATATATATATATATATATATATATATATATATGCCTTGGATAAAAACAATATATAAACATTTACTGGGGATAACATATAAATTATTGGTTGTATTTATAGAAAGAAAATAACTGAAAAAACAAAAGAAAACCTGGAATTCCTTCTTGAGGTGAGAAATATGTCCTTAGTGCACTACTTATAGAGTAATTATTGATTTAGGTGTGAAAGACTAATTAAGTATTACCCACATTTATTCCAGAAAATCATAATGGTATTTCACATTAATTAGAATAAATCATGGTACTCCACATAGGTTACAATAAATCATGGTACTCCACATAAGTTCCAATAAATCATGGTACTCCACATAAGTTCCAATAAATCATGGTACTCCACATAAGTTACAATAAATCATGGTACCCCACACAAGTTACAATAAATCATGGTACTCCACATAAGTTACAATAAATCATGGTACTCCACATAAGTTACAATAAATCATGGTACCCCACACAAGTTACAATAAATCATGATACTCCACATAAACTACAATAAATCATGGTACTGTACTCCACATAAAGTACAATAAATCATGGTACTGTACTCCACATAAGTTACCATAAATCATGGTACTGTACTCCACATAAGTTACAATAAATCATGGTACTCCACATGTTACAATATATCTTGGTACTCCACATAAGTTACAATAAATCATGGTACTCCACATAATTTACAATAAATCATGGTACTGTAATCCACATAAATTACAATAAATCATGGTACTGTACTCCACATAAGTTACCATAAATCATGGTACTGTACTCCACATAAGTTACAATAAATCATGGTACTGTACTCCACATAAATTACAATAAATCACGGTACTGTACTCCACATAAGTTACAATAAATTATGGTACTCAACATGTTACAATATATCATGGTACTCCACACAAGTTACAATAAATCATGGTACTGTACTCCACATAAGTTACAATAAATCATGGTACTCCACATAAATTACAATAAATCATGGTACTCTACTCCACATACGTTACAATAAATCATGGTACTCCACATAAGTTACAATAAATCATGGTACTTCACATAAGTTACAATAAATCATGGTACTCCACATAAGTTACAATAAATCATGGTACTCCACATAGGTTACAATAAATCATAGTACTCCACATAGGTTAAAATAAATCATGGTACTCCACATAGGTTACAATAAATCATAGTACTCCACATAGGTTAAAATAAATCATGGTACTCCACATAGGTTAAAATAAATCATGGTACTCCACATAGGTCACAATAAATCATGGTACTCCACATAGGCTACAATAAATCATGGTGCTCTACTTCACATGAGCCAATTATAAAGGAACTGAAGCTATTTTACTTAGCTCAGGCTGTAACTCGGTCTTTGGTTGAAGCTCAGGCTGTAACTCGGTCTTTGGTTGAAGCTCAGGCTGGGACTCGGACTTTGGCTGAAGCTCAAGCTGGGACTCGGACTTTGGCTGAAGCTCAAGCTGTAACTCGGTCTTTGGCTGAAGCTCAGGCTGGGACTCGGTCTTTGGTTGAAGCTCAGGCTGTAACTCAGTCTTAAGCTGAAGGTCAGGCTGGGAGTCGGTCTTTGGCTGAAGCTCAGGCTGGGAGTCGGTCTTAGGCTGAAGCTCAGGCTGTAACTCAGTCTTTGGCTGAAGCTCAGGTTGGGACGTGGGTTTGGTCTCGGTCTTTGGTTGAAGCTCAGGCTGGGACTCGGTCTTTGGTTGAAGCTCAGGCTGGGAGTCGGTCTTAGGCTGAAGGTCAGGCTGGGAGTCGGTCTTTGGCTGAAGCTCAGGCTGGGAGTCGGTCTTTGGCTGAAGCTCAGGTTGGAACCTGAGTTTGGTCTCGGTCTTAGGTTGAAGCTCAGGCTGGGACTCGGTCTTTGGTTGAAGCTCAGGCTGTAACTCGGTCTTAGGCTCAAGGTCAGGTTGGGAGTCGGTCTTTGGCTGAAGCTCAGGCTGTAACTCGGTCTTAGGGTCAAGGTCAGGTTGGGAGACGGTCTTTGGCTGAAGCCCACGCCGGGAGTCGGTCTTTGGTTGAAGCTCAGGCTGTGTCTCAGTCTTAGGCTGACGCTCAGGCTGTAACTCGGTGTTTGGCTGAAGCTCAGACTGGGACTCAGACTTGCACTCTTGTTTAGGACTGTGTTCTTTCTTGGGCTTAGGCTCTTGCTTGATTTTGGGTTCTTTCTTGGGCCTGGGCTCTTTCTTGGGCCTGGGCTCTTTCTTGGGCCTGGGCTCTTTCTTGGGCCTGGGCTCTTTCTTGATTTTAGGTTCTCTCTTCGGCTTGGGCTCTTTCTTAGGCCTGGGCTCTTTCTTAGGCCTGGGCTCTTTCTTGGGCTTAGACTCTTGCTTGATTTTGGGTTCTTTCTTGGGTTTAGGCTCTTGCTGGGACTCGGAATTGGGTTCGGTCTTAGGGTGGAGCTCAAGCTGGGACTCGGGTTTGGGCTCAATCTTTGGCTGAAACTCAGGCTGGGTCTTGGTCTTATGCTGAAGCTCAGGCTGGGAGTCGGTCTTAGGCTGAAGGTCAGGCTGGGAGTCGGTCTTAGGCTGAAGGTTAGGCTGGGAGTCGGCCTTTGGCTGAAGCTCAGGCTGGGAGTCGGTCTTAGGCTGAAGCTCAGGCTGGGAGTCGGTCTTAGGCTGAAGCTCAGGCTGGGGGTCGGTCTTAGGCTGAAGGTCAGGCTGGGAGTCGGTCTTAGGCTGAAGCTCAGGCTGGGAGTCGGTCTTAGGCTGAAGCTCAGGCTGGGAGTCGGTCTTAGGCTGAAGGTCAGGCTGGGAGTCGGTCTTAGGCTGAAGCTCAGGCTGGGAGTCGGTCTTAGGCTGAAGGTCAGGCTGGGAGTCGGTCTTTGGCTGAAGGTCAGGCTGGGAGTCGGTCTTAGGCTGAAGCTCAGGCTGGGAGTCGGTCTTAGAGTCGGTCTCAGGAGTTTGTCTTTTTCGCCGAAGCTCAGGCTGGGGAGTCGGTCTTTGCCTGGAAGCTCAGGCTGGGAGTAGTCTTTGGCTGAAGGTCAGGCTGGGAGTCGGTCTTAGGCTGAAGGGCTGAAGGTGGAGGCTGGAGTCCTTCCAAGCTGAAGCTCAGCTGGGAGTCGGCCCAGGCTGAAGGTCAGGCTGGGAGTTTGTCCTCAGGCTGGGAGTCGGTCTTAGGCCGAAGGTCAGGCTGGGAGTCAAACTCAGGCTGGAGTCTTAGGCTGAAGGTCAGGCTGGGAGTCGGTCTTAGGCTGAAGGAGGCTGGGAGTTTGTCTTGGCTGAAGGTCAGGCTGGGAGTAGGCTGAAGGTCAGGCTGGGGGTCTTAGGCTGAAGCTCAGGCTCGGTCTGCAGGGTCAGGCGCTGGGAGTCTTTGGTCTTTGGCTGAAGCTCAGGCTGGGAGTCGGTCTGAAAGCTCAGGCTGGGAAGGTCTGGCTGGGAATCGGTCTTTGGCTGAAGCCTGGGCTGGGTTTGTCTGGCTGAAGTCAGGCTGGTGTTTTGCCCAGGCTAGGCTGGGAGTTTGTCTTAGGCTGTAGGGCTGGGAGTTTGTCTTAGGCTGAAGTTCAGGCTGTAACTCGGTGTTTGGCTGAAACTCGGGCTGGGACTCAGAACTGCACTCTTGTTTTAGGACTGTGTTCTTTCTTGGGCTTAGGCTCTTGTGATTTGGGTTCTCTCTTGAGTTTGGGCTCTTTCTTAGGCCTGGGCTCTTTCTTGAGCCTGGGCTCTTTCTTGGGCCTGGGCTCTTTCTTGGGCTGGGCTGCTTGTTTGGAGTTCTCCCTTGGGTTTGGGCTCTTGCTTAGAGCCTGGGCTCTTTCTTGGGCTTGGAGCCTTGCTTGATCCTGGGTTCTCCTTGGGTTTGGGCTCTTTCTTAGGCCTGGGCTCTTTCTTGGGCTTAGGCTCTTGCTTGATTACAGGTTCTCTCTGGGTTTGGAAACTCTTTCTTAGGCCTGGGCTCTTTCTTGGGCCTGGGCTCTTTCTTGGAGCTTAGGCCTTGCTTGCGATTTTGGGTTCTCCTTGGGTTTGGGCTCTTTCTTAGGCCTGGAGGCTCTTTCTTGAGGGTCTGGGCTCTTTCTTGGTTAGGCTCTTGCTTGATTTTGGGTTCTCTCTTGGGCTGGGCTCTTTCTTGGGCTTAGGCTCTTGCTTGATTTTGGGTTCTCCTTGGGTTTGGGCTCTTGTAGACCTGGGCTCTTTCTTGGCTTAGGCTCTTGCTTGATTTGGGTTCTCCAACTCAGGTTTAGGCTCTTACTTAGGCCTGGGCTCTTTCTTGGGCTTAGGCTCTTGCTTGATTTTGGAGGTTCTCTCTTGGGTTTGGGCTTTCTTGAAGCCTGGGCTCTTTCTTAGGCCTGGGCTCTTTCTTCTTGACTTAGGCTCTTGCTTGATTTTGGGTTCTCTCTTGGGTTTTCCGGCTTAGGCTCTTTCTTGATTTTGGGCTTGGCTTCATTCTGGGGGCTCTTTCTTAGGCCTTGGGCTCTTGGGCTTAGGCTCTTTGACTTTTTGGGGTCTCTCCTCTTTCAGGCTCCGGGCTTTCTTTGGCTTGGGCTCTTGCTTCTCCTTGGGCCCCGGCTCTTTCTTAGGCCTGGGCTCTTTCTTGCCAGGCTCTTGCTTGATTTCGTCCCCTCTGGCTGGGGGTTCTCTCTTCTCTTTTCTTAGGTCTGGGCTCTTTCTCAAATAGCTTAGGCTCTTGCTTGATTTTGCTCGGGTTTGGGCTCTTTCTTATGGGCTCTTTTCAGGTTAGGCTCTCTTGACTTGGTTTCCCTTGGGCTCTTTCTTGGGCCCTGGCCCTTCTTTAGGCCTGGCTGGGCTCTTTTGATTTTGGGTTCTCTTTGGTTTGGGCTCCTTTCTTAGGCCTGGGCTCTCTTCTGCTTAGGCTCTGCTTGATTTTGGGTTCTCTCTTTGGGTTTGCTTCATTTCTCTCTTGGGCTGCTTTCTTGGGCCGGGCTCTTTCTTAGGCTCTTTTTCTTAGGCCTGGGTTTGGGAAATCTCTTAGGCCCGGAGGCTCTTGGGCTTAGGCTCTTGCTTGATTTTGGGTTCTCCTTGGGTTTGGATCTTTGCTTAAGCCTGGAATCTTTCTTGGGCTCTTTCTCTCTTGGGTTTGGGCTCTTTCTTAGGCCCGGGCTCTTTCTTAGGCCTGGGCTCTTTCTTGGGCTTAGGCTCTTGCTTGATTTTGGGTTCTCTCTTGGGTTTGGGCTCTTTCTTAGGCCTGGGCTCTTTCTTGGGCTTAGGCTCTTGCTTGATCTGGGTTCTCTCTTGGGTTTTGGGCTCTTTCTTAGGCCCAGGCTTAGGGGCTCTTTCTTGCTTGATTTTGGGTTCTCCCTCTCTTTCTGTAGGCCTGGGCTTTTCTTGGGCTCTTTGCTTGATTTTGGAGTTCTCTGGGCTCTTTCTTGGCCTGGGCTTTTCTCTTAGGCTCTTGCTGGGACTCTCTTGGGTTTGGGCTCTTTCTTAGGCTGAGGCTCTTTCTTGGGCTTATCAGGGTCATAGGCTCGAGCTTAGGCTGGGACTCGGCCTGGCATTTGGTCTTGGGCAGGAGCACGGGCTGGTGAAGTTTTTCACTCCTGGGCGGGTAACTTTCCATATTTTCAGAGTTCTTGATGAAAACTTTTGTCCGCTCTAGAACAGCCTTAGTGGACTCATTGGGGAACTGTGCACCGCGCCGCTGCTTGATGTGCCCCACGTAGGGATTCACCCCATCTTCCTCACTTACGATGTTCCTCCTCGGTGGGTCTCTATGCCTCTCGCTTAAAAAGCTGATGATAGGTCGGCATTTCCGTCTAGTCAGACATTCGATCAGGGCCTCATTAAGATCACGTGAATCCCCTTCGTTGTTCATGACTAACGAGAGTGTTTAATGCTTATGAACTGTAGAATGTTAAGTAGGCCGGTGTTGATGTATAGTGTGGAGACGCTGGGCCCTGAGGAAGAGAGAGACACACAAAGAGATCTTAGATATTATTTCTCCAACCATCATTGCCATCTGAACCATTGCTGATGTTTCTTTGTATTGATGTAGTATACAGTATATATAAGGATCTAGCTCTGTGTGTGTGTGTGTGTGTGTGTGTGTGTGTGTGTGTGTGTGTGTGTGTGTGTGTGTGTGTGTGTGTGTGTGTGTGTGTGTGTGTGTGTGTGTGTGTGTCTGTGTGTGTGTGTGTGTGTGTGTGTGTGTGTGTGTGTGTGTGTGTGTGTGTGTGTGTGTGTGTGTGTGTGTGTCTGTGTGTGTGTGTGTGTGTGTGTGTGTGTCTGTGTGTGTGTGTGTGTGTGTGTGTGTGTGTGTGTGTGTGTGTGTGTGTCTGTGTGTGTGTGTGTGTGTGTGTGTGTGTGTGTGTGTGTGTGTGTCTGTGTGTGTGTGTGTGTGTGTGTGTGTTGTGTGTGTGTGTCTGTGTGTGTGTGTGTGTGTCTGTGTGTGTGTGTGTGTGTGGGTGTGTGTGTGTGTCTGTGTGTGTGTGTGTGTGTGTCTGTGTGTGTGTGTGTGTGTGTCTGTGTGTGTGTGTGTGTGTGTGTGTGTGTGTGTGTGTGTGTGTCTGTGTGTGTGTGTGTGTGTGTGTGTGTGTGTGTGTGTGTGTGTGTGTGTGTGTGTGTGTGTGTGTGTGTGTGTGGGTGTGTCCTGTGTGTCTGTGTGTGTGTGTGTGTGTGTGTGTGTGTGTGTGTGTCTGTGTGTGTGTGTGTGTGTGTGTGTGTGTGTGTGTGTGTGTGTGTGTGTGTGTGTGTGTGTGTGTGTGTGTGTGTGTGTGTGTGTGTCTGTGTGTGTGTGTGTGTGTCTGTGTGTGTGTGTGTGTGTGTGTGAACTTCATCTCCACAACATCAACAAACTTATAACACATACTGTATATCCTTAAATAAAATCTGTCGCTGAAGGATGGAAATTTTAAAACATAGGAACAAACCAAATGTTATTGTTCTGTAGCAAAAGGGACGCTTGAACACTTATTTCTTCCGAGACACTGGCTGAACTATTGGCCTTAAATACAACAAAAATATCAATCGATTATGCCTCAACGGTTATATCAATCTGACCATTTACGACTCTAATCTTTCTATCAGCTGTCCATTTGTTTGAGGACGAGGCTAGGTCATCTCACTCAAAGGCTTGTCATTACTCTCAAGAAGTTAGATCATTGTACTCACCAGGTGAAGTAGTTGTACTCAAAGGGTGTCATCGTACTCAGGGGAAGATTAAGAAGTAAAAATAACCGTACGAAATGTTGAAGAATGTGGTGCCAAACAGACGCACAGATTAGAGGGACTTCTCGTGTATCGTCAAATACTCGCCTTAAGCAGCATGGCAATCACAACGGGTTTACGGAAGGGACCACTTGAGCGCTGTGTGTGTGTGTGTGTGTGTCCGTTTGACACTCTCTCATACTCTTCTGAAGTGACAGTACAATAGGGGTCCTACTAATTACCCAAATGTACCCAAATGTACCCAAATATAGCCGGAATGAAGTCAAATAATGGTCCTAGATGAATAAATCGGACTGCTAATCACTTCTCAACTAGTAATTGGTGTCAGAAAGTCACAAAAAATTGGAAAACTTACTTTAATCTGAGTTAATAGATCGCGTGCATGTACCGACGGAGCGAGGAATTACCCAAATATACCCAAATGTAGTCGCTCCGTCGGTACATGCACGCGATCTATTAACTCAGATTAAAGTAAGTTTTCCAATTTTTTGTGACTTTCTGACACCAATTACTAGTTGAGAAGTGATTAGCAGTCCGATTTATTCATGTAGGACCATTATTTGACTTCATTCCGGCTATATTTGGCTACATTTGGGTACATTTGGGTACATTTGGGTAATTAGTCGGACCGGTACAATAGTATTACCCAGCCTCACCTGTCCCTCCTGGTGTACTTGTCTTCAACTGCCTTTTTTTACTTTGTTTACGGTTACTCCTTGTTTACGGTTACTCCTTGTTTACGGTTACTCCTTGTTTACGGTTACTCCTTGTTTACGGTTACTCCTTGTTTACGGTTACTCCTTGTTTAAGGATGTCTCAAGATGTTTGTTGTTGTTAACTTCTGTTTATGGATAATTATGGCATGTTATATTGTTTTTTAAGTTGTACTTGTTGAATAAAGATATAAATGATTCCAAGACAAATAAATGTGCGACCAGTAATGCGTTACGAGAGAGAGAGAGAGAATTGCTGTGTTTTTTAAGAGATTCATGTTATAAACTTCATCCCCATTGGTGGATTATAATAACTTTAAATGGTTCACTTCAGCAGCAATATAACAGTACCAAAAAACGCCGAACGAACCAACGAACTTTTTACGATATCAGAACATTCACTATTTGATGAAGATGTTGGAACATTTTAATGCATTGGAGATAGAAATATTTAAATGCCTTGTAGATATACTGTAAACATTTAAATGCCATGGTGATATAATACATTTAAATGCCTTGTAGCTATAAACATTGAAGTGCCTCTAGATGTAAACATTTAAATGCCTTATAATAGATATAAACATTAAATGCCTTGTAGATATAGAAACACTTAAATGCCTTGGCGTCATGGAAACATTTAAATACCTTGGGTATTTTGGAAAAACCCTTTAAGCGCTTTGAAGTTATAAACCTAAACATTTCTAATACCTTGAAACAAAACCACTTTGTCAGGCAGGGACCATCTCAACGGTACCGACACGTTAACTACCTCGAGAAAAGAAGAAAAAAAAATACTTGATTCTTCGGGGTCGAGCTCGTGTACGGATGGATGACAACTCACTCGCTGCTTCACAGATTTCTATCAAAGCGGCACTTGATAAAGGGTGAGAGAAAAGATACCAATTGGCAATCAGAGGAGGTGAATAGAGGAGGAGGGGGAAATGCGTCAAAGGCGGGGTGAGGAAGAATAGCGGCAAGGTGACTTAGAGGACATATAGGCAAAGGCCACAGGAAATAGGAAAAAACGGGAATAAAGAAAACAAGAAATAGAAAATTGAAGGACTAGCAATTTGTGTAAGTACAGAAAACGGGAAATAAGGGGGCGGGGAAGAAAAAAACGAATGTAGGAATTTCTGTTATAGATAAGTAAAGAAAACGGCAGAAATTTTTAACAGAGAAAACTTGGAACAAATTATGAGTGGATACATAAAAAGGCGTGAGAAAGTTATAGGTAAGCGTTAGGTTAGGCTAAGTTAGGTTGAATTAAGTTAGGTTGAATTAAGTTAGGCTAGACTGTTAGGTTAGGCATCCTCAAATGGTTAATTAGATCAGGTCAGGTTAAGTTCCGTCAGGTTAGGTTAGGTTAGGTCAGGTATCTTCTAAGTGGTTAATGGTTAATGTTCCGTTTCTAAGCGAATAAACATTTATTGGCATCTCCCGTCTTACATCCAATCTCTCTTTTTCAATAATATGGGGAACATCTATTGCCGGAACCACTGTGAATTTGGGCCTGTGTCGTGTCCAGTGCACTGTATTTATAACCATTAATAGCCCTGTTAGCATTGATCTGGCAACGTACGGGATGCTCTTGTTAAGCCAGGGGCACAGGCATGAAGTAACGTGATACACAGTCTAATAAGTTAATTCGTTTACGCTGACCAAAGTTTGGCGATGGTGGTGAGTTTGCCAAGGAGTTCTCAAGTCGTGTTAACTCGGACTTGAAACACATCCTTCAGTTAACTTTCTTTGTGGCTATTGTTATTAGAATACTGATTTAATGTGTTAGCATTCAATGTCCTTAACTTTAACAGAACACATCTACACTCTTAAGGACGATGGTTTTTGGCTTTGTGCCACACTTTGTGCCACACTTTAACAATAACGTGTACTACACTTACATAATTGCACAAGTGATCTCTCTCTGCATGGGTACAGCAAAATGTAAAAACTCAATTATCTGCTTCCTTACAGTAATCCTGAATATTGCGAGGTTTTACCGTATGTGTTAGCATATATACTAGGTCATCACTATCATATATATATATATATATATATATATATATATATATATATATATATATATATATATATATATATATATATATATATATATATATGTATATATATATGTATATGTATATTAATCTTGCTTCAAATGGCAGTAAACCTCGACAGTATAATACAAACTGACACTTATGGCCATGGGCAATTACTGGATGAGGCTCCGAGAAAAAAATTATCAAAATGACCTTCCATGAAAGCAGGGGTTTTTTTTCCATAACACCATTAATTCATTTTTTTATACAAATTCAGAGTCTCTCTTTCACGCGCTAATGTCCAATTTATTAAAACTAATCGAGTAATGCCACACATGTAAAAAAATCAAATCATGATACGATATTTAAATTCAAAGGATAACGATTGTGTCCACAGTAGTCAGTGACCAGTCACCATGGCGACGCTCGCGGCCTCGCCTCTTGTATTTATGTACTAATAAGACAATTTGAGTTGTAATTAGTGTTCTAGATAGTTTATATCTATTGTGGAATGGTAAGGTGGGGGTTGAGGATTAATGCAGGTCAAATTACTTATTTACTGCTCGTTTAGCCTAATCATTACGTCCTAAATTGGGAGTGGAACAATAGACGGATTTAATATGTGTACCGTGAGTTGAGATATTGTGTGTGTGTGTGTGTGTGTGTGACGACTAATGGATTACTGTATAACGAAGCAAAACTAAAAACTACTCTTGCTAGTTATTGCTATTGTTCAAAGTGCTTGATACTGTAACATTAACCACCTCGTCTAGTCAGTTCTTCATCACAACATTCCAATCACAAAAATGCTAATACTGAATTTCTGTTTTGGATTTTGGAGCCTAATGTTACACGCCAGCATGACCATGGCTACAAGCTTATATACTCGTACACTCAGTTCGGTTTGTTATAAATACTCCGCTTAGTTAATGGAGGTTGTCGCAGAACTGAGTGTAGGTACAACACCATCATGATGGACCGCCCCGTAACATTCCCCGTAACTGAAGAGGTAAGAATTAAATATTTTATGAGAAAGCTCGGAATGAGAATGAACATTGTTCACGTACAACCAGCTAGACACTCGATGCATGAAGACGTGTCTAGGCTTAATATTAGAGAATGGTATATGTTAATATTTGCACTAGCAAAGTTAAGTTAATTATTACAAAAAGGACACGTGTCAATATTTACATATAAATATACGCACAACCGAGTCCCTGCAACCATGCTAAAAACCTTGCAGTCACGTACCGGACTAGGCAACCTGATCCCAGGGCTCCCCAGATGACCCACTCCTTGCTACTTGACCCCAATTGTCCTCTCAAATGACGCCTTAGCGACCTCTCCCAGAACAAGGTGTCTTGTTCTCTGTCCACCTCTTCTTCTCACGGTTGATGTGTGATGGACGGAGATGACTCCTTTGTATTCATATTTTTTTAATTATGTATACAATACAAAATGTTCAACATTATGAAATAATTATCGTCCTGAAGGTTAAAGTTGTGAAAGCCGAGGCTAGATTAGGTTACCCATCAGTCACCCTCGTTAATATTTCAAAGCGTAACGTTAGTCTCCTTTATTTACACGATGCGCTTTAATCCAGTTCCCATGGAAACTTTATTTCACGTAAACAAACATCCGGAATAACAACTTGGTGTTTAATCGAAGGCAACTTTTCTCTTTAATGTAATTTACGCAACATTAGAGCGGTAATGAATCTGCAAAGGGAGAGAGGGAGGGGAGGGATGATGAAGGGAGTGACTTTTAATTCGATCTATTAGTAATCTGGGCTAATCATTACGAATTATCACCACCTACCTTTGAGGTACTGAATACAAAAATGCGTTCTTTTTAGTCATTTTGGCGAAGCGCAATTAGTTTCACGAGTATTGATATGACATATAAATGTTTCATCCGAAGAATCATTACTGATGGGAGCTGGTAAATATTATGTTTTTCATGAATATCCATACAGTGTGTTGCAAATGAACTAGAGTATATAAATCAGAACCTGGACATATTTACATCAGCTTGATAGTCTTTCTGTTGCCCAATGATTATACACAATTACCATCTTTCTTATTTCGAAAGTAGTAATAGACGAATAGTAACATATATGTATCCCTTATAAGCATGCAATATTATTATTATTATTTAAAAAGAGAGGTTCGGCAAATTTATAAGCTCACATGAAGGACGTTACCTGAAATGGATACACATGCTGTCTGGTACGCAGAATTATAAATATATAGTACTTTCTATGTCCAAAATACGAGTATATTGAAATATTCACACATATTGGTTCAAAACAACACACGCATATAAAATAAATAAACGCAATTGGAGGGAGAGAGAGGTATCAAAGCCAAAGTTTTATTGCTCTATAACAGATTCATTTGATAAAACGGACTCAATAAAAGCGATGACATGTTAAAAAAAGTGAGCATCACTTTTACTTTAAGGGGATGGCACAAAAACTAATAGACAGAATCGCGTGGAAAACAAGCATGTTGATTACCATAGAAGAAATTTTAATTTCCTGAAGTTCAACCCGTCCATTATTTTTCTTACTGTGCAATCGTTTGTTCTCCCCTTCCCCGATCCTCGCCCACAACTTTCCATTGAAATCCAGAGCAATTTAAACTATTAGTAAATTTGCTAGTGTTGTTTCAGATTAATAAGACTTTGTTTTAGTAATTCTATACGACATAAATTTTGATAGAAATTAAACAATATACTGAAAAAATAGAAGAAAAAGAAGAAAACGTTAAGGCCACTATGGTACTCCAAGTTTTGGCCCGGACTGATGTACGGGGGTTTAGCAAATATATATTTGATATTAGCAACACAGAGGGAACTGAATTATATATTTTTTTCGATCCACATAGAGGCAATGTAACTGGCACTGCACTCGATTATCTTTACTTTCCAAAGTATAAAGTTAGGTACTAACTCGCGGATGTATGAACTGGGGATACTCCGGTGAGAACCAGTGATTCTTTGGACAGAAGGCGTGTGTTGTACCCACTCGGCCGTTGCACCTGGTGGTTTTATAGGAGAGGAAAATACTCTCTTCCCTCCCCTTGATGGAATGTGTCGTCAGGCTAATAATGGTACTGCACCCCCCTCGCTTGGTCAATAAAACTCTTCAGAGGACGAAAAATACTCTCCCTTACGATGTACAATGGTCGAGTTGCGACTTGTGAGAGTTGACGAAGGTAGCGCTCGCCTCCCAAAACCACTGACCAGGAAACACCACTGGACCAGTTTAATAAGACGAAATTAATCCCGTCTAGTGTTATAATGATGTGCCACTTGTTAATATCCACCTCACCTAGCACCTTGTACCTGGCACTTACCACGAGGCACCCAATACCTGGTACTGTATACTGTTATCAATATTGCATTTGTATCTTTGGTAACTTTATAAATATCATTAAATTTGTTTTCACTTGAGTCCCCACTACGTCGCCTACCTAAACCATATAAATGACTTAACCCTTACAGCTCGTTTGTGTACACTACACAAATGAGCTGTCTACACTAAGCTACATATGAGATTCAAAAGAGGAAGATCGCTCTCTTAAGATTTTCGTGGTCATCTCCACGGAAAGAATATAGCCTATCCAACTTGCACATTGTAAACTGCACATACTATAATCAGATACTGGATACAAGAATTAAAAACTTACAATATCATACTGGCGATGGCGCTTCACTTCGGAATACAGACCCAACCATATATTACAAGACCTCGACTTCATCATGGTCAATGAATACACCACAATTGCTTATCACTCGCGGTTTAATTTTGTTTCCCGCATAGAGCCATGATAAGCCTCGCCACATAACCGTACAATTGTGGAAAATATGAACAAAATATATAAACGCGTTCTGGTGCTAACCGTTTGCTCTACCTTCGACGTAAATGTTAAAAGTGAAAGTTAAACAACAGGTTGCCCTGGGGTAACGATGCCTTTAACACTGACATGCATCAGTAGTCTTCCTGCATCGCACCGCCAGGCTGGAAAAAAGATGGTGGACACTTTGTAAAGTTGGAGGTCATGTTTGACCCTCTAATAAGCAACACACCCTAACACACTGAAATAAATACTCCCAATTATCGCATAAAATTAACCATCGTGTACTTGAATATGTAATTTTGCTGTAATCAATTTGCTATACGATGTACCGACATAAGTATTATCTTCGTTAACGTGTTTCATAGGAGTGAATAAACTCAAACACTCGCCCTTACAAAATTACAATCACGTACTTACCTAGTACTGCACATTTAATATTCTATGATGACGTGGGATGTCTAATATGAATGATTCAATGATACACCACATAATCGAAAATAAATTATGAGACACCGCCGAACTCTTCCTCCCGCCAACTGTACTCTAGGATCTCGTCTTCAGTAGTCAAGCGAGATCCATCACTGAGGAGTTTTTATTTTACTACAAAATCTACTTATTGAGATCTGCTAATATTTTCAAAATTGTCATGAAATTTATTTTAAAAAAAGTATGTTCATATACGGAAAAGTACAAAGCTTACATATGTAAAAATCTACGCAGTGTTCCAGCCAAAATGAAGGCTCTGTAGAGTAACTGAAACAGGCATTAGACAACTGATTGAACTGAATAGATATGCATCGAAATAGAAAAAAAAACAAGAATTAAGCCTAAATACATATCAGCTCAATAAACTGCTATTATCTATAAAAGGCCATCGTGGAATTTTTTTCTACAAATTCATGGTGGTTTGTAAGATGGCTACATAATATGATACGTCTGTGTTAGTGTTGCATTAAACAGGTTGTGGCAACTATGGTATTATTGAAGTATTAAACATTTGTAGTGAAAATTATACGAAAAAATAATGCAAGCGGTTGGATACAGCACAATGAGAACTAAAATTCCTAGATACACAGAAATAATATAACCATCACAACTTTTCACCTGTATTGTTTTACATTTCCTCACATAAAACACCCATTCTATAACTGGGTTGAATGAGGTCGCCGCACTTTCTAGCTGTACTGTATTGCTTTTATAGTATTAATATCAGTGGTGAGGAGGATAGAAGTAAAAAGTAAAACTGTATATCATTCACCAGTTTGTACCTGTTGTTCTTCGGTCTTCGGTCCATGTACAACAGGGAACCAGTTTGCTCTATCGCGTATCAAATTCTAACACAAGAAAGACCCTAGGCACCAGAATTCTAACATCAGTCTTAATTTTGTATTACTCATCATATAACACTATGTACTGGGAAGTGGAATATATGGCATGTTTTATTAACTGGTTCATCTTGAAGTGTAAGTCGCTGCCACTGACTCAGCTGTATATAAACGAACACTTCTACCTTTATTATGTTATTTTAGCATTATTATACCCTTTATATAATAGTAAATCATTACTTATTACACTTTATATTATTTATATTGATGTGGGTATTATTTATTTGCTCCAACTTTGGGGTATGAGTTATCATTGTTTGTATGTGGTGGCACCTGTGGGAGCCTCCGGTACTGACTGGTAGTATTAGGTGTTACCCTTTATCTTTAGGTGAATATGACATGTTTCTCTGAATGAATCACTAGTTATAACTAATAGAGGATCTGCCATTTTTTGTGTAACTAAGGTATCTTATGTGTTTAGAGAACTTTCTGTATGTTAATTCTTAAAATATGATAAATTACAAGTGTATTACAGTTTTACTGAATATCTTTGTTTCTGTGGATTTAATGAATTTATGGAATAGATATAAAGATAGATGGTTAATCGTATTTTTCCTAATAGGTGTTTCGGATTTTTTACCATTATCATGTGGGGTTATGTGATATTGGTTCACACTCAGGATGGGATGGAGAAAGGAAACTCACAGTGTGCTCACTGTCTACTATTGTATTGGATGTACAGTGCAGCTTGGTGCTGGGAAGGCAGCATGGTTACAAGCGTGATGTAGAGAGAGCTGGTTGGTGAGGGTGCTCAGAGGAGGACCAGCTTGTGGGTCACCATGGTCGCCAGCTGGAGCGAGGGCCGCCAGGCAGGAGTGGAGGAGGAGGTGTAGCTTGAAGACTGGCTGTAGATAGAAAGAGAGGTAGGTCACCACGAGGTGAGATCTTATATAATGGAGGTAGGCGTGGCTTAATAGTTGACCTCTGTCATGTAAGGTGGCGCTGGTTGACCTAGACCACGAGGTCGCGGGGTCAGCTACTCAGCGAAAAGCGTTTGTAGGGGAGGAATCCACTACAATCACTAGGATTTTTTTTTCTTTTTAGTTAGGAATCAATTTTCTTCTATGGCAATAGTAGGTTAGGTTAAGTCGCCCAGTTAATATTCATTTTGGTAAAATTATAGTTTCGGTCATCCCTATATTAAGATATCCAAACTAACCTAACCTAACCTAACCTAAGCTAACCAAACCAAACCATCCTTACCTAACCTATACCTAAACTAACCGGAGAACCCCTAACATTCGCTGGATGATGAAACGATATTACCTTCATTGGTTTAATATATAGGACTAACCCGCCAGGGCTGCATAGCGCCGATGCGGCCGTATCATATCACGTCCAGAAAATGCCTCAAATTTCACCATATCATAGTGAGTTCTGTGTTTAATATACTGGGGAAGTTAGGTCAGGTTAGGTAGGTTTGGTTGGTTAGGTCTGCTCTTCATAACCACAAATGTTAAGTAGCTTTTATTTTGAAAATACAGGTATCCATTTTTTAACATATTTCCACAAACTGCAACAGTGTCCACTGTAATATAACAATGAAAATCCGGCGTCTCTATAATTGTTTTCAATCAGTTTTGCTCACGGATTAGTCCTACAGTATATAATTACCCCTTTGTTTTTATCCCAATAGGAATAAAAGCAAATTTTTACCAGATAAATATTTATTCAGTGAAGTTGTCAGCTACCTTCATATTGGTTTAGTATATAGACAGTACAGGTACCCGGTATAACCCACAAAATATACTTAAAGTTTTTTTTACTTCCATTGAGGTCCTGATGATAATGACAAAAACAGTGGAATACATAATTGTATTTTTATTAGGATTATAACTTTGAAGTTTGTCTAAGGTTTGAAATACTGTTAAGGGAAGAGTACAGGTCACGTTAACATTTCCCACATAGAGGATTGTTCCCAACATAGATTATTTAATATAACTTAAACTAATCATCTAAGTGGGATGGCAAAGAGCGCATTAAACAGTCATTCAGATGGAGTGACACCGGGGTATGCCACACTGGCAGGTCCCTGATATTCTTTGTGAGACTCTTGGTAATAGTACAGTAAAGGATGACACCTAACCTACTGTTCTCTATTGGGAGCTTCCCGTGTCACATTTAGATCAATATTCGTTTTAGTTTGACTGTGGAAACTGCTAGGTTTTCAAAGGTTTGTTGGGTGTTCTTTTTAGTATTTTATCCCACATTTTCCCTCTACTTCAAAGCCCTGACCACTTTGAACAACCAATATTGTTGGTAATTGGGTGGGGGGGGGGGGGTCATATCTCCATAACTGCTCAATTGCAGTGGAAATGAAAGTCAGATTTGCTTTAAACAGCATAAAATACACTAGGAAAGCATTTTTGTTAGTAGTTTCTGTGATCGACCTAAAACGAATCTTTATCCACATTTATATATCAAAAGCAGACAGTTAGCACCCGAATGCATTTTATATATTTTGTTCATATTGAGTAACTAAATTGAAATGACAATGTTGTACTATTTTGTTTTTTTCTTTTAGTCTATCCTTCAATCATAAATTACTTCTTTGTAGTTAGGGCAAGAAAGAAGAGGGAAATAACAGGGTAAAAACATTGAACATTGACCATATGGTAGTAATTTCACATCTCTGTGCTTTGTAGGTGAAGAAATAGATTATGTACCATAATTATGGCACCATCGGATCTCCTGTGGCGACCACGTTTTGGTTCACATCGTCTGCTTTACGGGAGTATCTGCTATACTACAATCTCATCAGGCATTATTACCATTTATATTGGATTGAATTCACTCATTTTTTCTGAAGAAAGTAAAAAAAAAAATGCATAGGTTAGGAAGTGAGGTGAGGCTAGGTAGGTTAGGTAAGGTTCTAATAGATTCTGTGCATTATAATTTATATTTTATTAGTATCATCCAAACAACACCTCCTGAAAATTTGGTGTAATTCCATAAAATCCTGATGCTAACCATCTACTCCACCATTATCGTACAGTGGGGTATGCTATAACGAATCTAATTGGTTCTAGAACCTTGTTCGTTATAGCATTCGTTCGTTATAGGATTAATCCGTTCCAGGCCCCCAAATACAACCACTTAACACTGAAAAATATAATATAAAATTGTAAAAATTTTAAAAAAGTGCATAAATATGCATCTAAACCCCTGAAATAAAGAATATCATTAATACTTGTAATAAAAAAACAATAAATTAGTAAAAAAAAAAAAAAAATTTTTTTTTTTAAATAATGTTCGTTGTAGGAGTTTCGTTCATTATAGCATTCTCAATTTTATAGGTAAAACCGTTCGTTATAGGAATATTCATAGTAGGATCCGTTCGTTATAGCATACCCTACTGTATTTCCATTTGTTTTAAAAGACTGTGGGAAACACATAAAAATTAGGCATCTCAACTTATTTCAGCTGATGATTAAATGCTTTGAGACTGCCTGAGGGTGTTAGGTTAGATTATACTTTAAATTTATCCTTTTCGCCACTGATTGGCTTGTTAGCAGCTTGGGTGGTCAGTTACGTCTCTGTTACGCACTGTTGGCAAGTACTGGGCATGGGGTAGTGGTTCCAGGATGTATCTGTACCTGCCAGTGTTGGTTAAGTCTTGTCTTGAATGAGCTCAAACTCTGTGTCATCAAACGCTTTCTGGCAGATTGTTCCAAGAGTTCACAACCCTCACTCCGAAAAATATTTCCCTGACAATTTTTTTAACTTGTGGTTTCTAGTGGGGCAGGCTTATGCAGCTCCATATATGGACAAAAATGCAATTGCAATACAATACTGTACAGTATTGTAGTTGAATGTGTGTTTTGAAAGTACATTTTTTCCAGTTACAGGTATCATGCCAGAACAAACTCCCAAAAAGCTGAAAACTGGCTGCAACCCGTGGGAGGACAGTTTCCGTCTCCCAAAGTCTGTTCAGCCAGACCATTATTCTGTGTACTTACATCCAGACTTGTCAACCAAGACATTCTCTGGCAAAGTAAGCATTGACGTCACAACTTCAGAGGCACTGGACCACTTCCTCGTGCACACAAAATGGCTCAGTATTACCCAGACTAAACTTGTCAGAGTAAATGGAAACCAAACTCAGGTAAGATATTTGTTATGTAGTTGTTTCTTTGACAAACATGTGTATGGCATTTACACTTAGACAAAATGTGTGACACAGGTACACTGAGAAAAGACTGATCTCTAAAAGGCATGGTCACTGAGGCCTTTAAGTGTGTATTCTAAGTTCATACTGTACAGTTTATACACTATTCATGAAGTTTAACTGTGTATACGTATAGATTTTTGATTGAGTTTGGTAATATATAAAGGAGTGAGCAAAAAAAAGTAGTGTAAATGTCTGCGAAGGAGAGACTTTTTGTTTATGTGATCACATTTTCATACTATTTCAGGATGTACCACTTACTGAGGCCTTTGAATATGAACCCAATGAGTTCTGGGTCATCAGAACTGCTTCTCTGGTGGAATCAGGCACTTTCAGGGTCACAATGAATTTCTCAGGGTCCCTCCAGAAAGGCATTGTGGGGTTCTACTACTCTGAATATACTGATCAGTCTGGAAATCGAAGGTAATAATAGTCTTATAATATTGGCACTGAAATGATAATTGTTCTTACCTATGTTGTTCATATCTTCACAAACCTCCTTTAATATGAACTGGTTTGGAAGTTGAGTAGACAGTTGGAAGTGGAAAGAGAGTAGTGAAACTAAAAAGGATATGAACCATGAAGTGTGGTTAGATATCCTGGAATGAGTCGTACAAAACTTGCTGAATTGTACATGTGGAAATCTGTCTTGCAGAGGTTTAGCCACGACAAAGTTTGAGCCCACATACGCTCGCCGTGCCTTCCCATGCTTTGATGAACCGAGTTTCAAGTCCACTTACAAGATCACCATAGTCAGACCCTCAGATGGATACATTGCTCTCTCTAACATGCCAGTTATGGTAAGATGAACCTCACTTTTTATATGTATTTTACACATCTTTAATGCCATGTCTTTTTCCATAATTAATGCAGAGTGACAAATGCAGATATATTGTTGAAAACTTTTAATAATACTGTATAAATAGCTTACATTTAGAGCTATAATGTGGATTTAATTCATCACTTGCTTTAAGTTACTGTACCATATTTGTTTTTGTTATTTACTGTACATGAATTGATTTCATAGTTCCTGTGAAGGTTGATACTTATACCATTTTAGAGACCTGTACTGTAATCCTTTATCATATTTTTTAGTCTCTACTAATTTTGTTGACAAAGTAAGTTGTTTATTTGTATTTGAGTATTTTTTATCTTTGAATATATTTTACAGTCAATCTTGTGTAAGGTAAGCACAGTAGAGTAGATTGTTATTTGAGAGCTGTCTAATTATAGAAATACAGTACACTACAGTACAGTATTATGAAGTTAGACGAAATTTTTATAATTGATTTGATTTTTACACGCACACCCACACACACACCCACACATATATATATACTGTATATATATATATATATATACACACACCATGAATTTTATTCATAGTCCCAAATACCTTCTCTATATATGTACAGGAAGAAGTGGAAGGAACACCAGCAAGAGGCCTCACAGAAGTCGTGTTTAACAAGTCTGTACCAATGGTGACTTACCTTGTGTGCTTTATTGTGTGTGACTTCACATATAAAGAAGTAAGAAATAACAATTTTTAAAATCTGTTTTTTAATTCCTTTAGAATTATTTTCTTGTGGGCCAGTTGACCCGAGTTATTGAGGAAAGCAATACTAATACAGTATACCAATTTACCAAAGGGAAAGAAACACTTTTAAGATAGTAAAAATAATTGTTATGGTAGACAAAGGGAGCTCTCACAAGGAATAAACCATCACATATTTTGACTTTCTTGTGGATATTGTTCAAATGAAAAAAAATTAAATGTGTTTATAGGTTTTACATGATATATATATATATATATATATATATATATATATATATATATATATATATATATATATATATATATATATATATATATATATATATATATATATATATATATATATATATATATATATATAGAACTAACTAACTTACTTATAGCATGGAAGTTAACTATGTCATAGTGAAGAAAAATTTTAGTGTGTTTTGTGTTCCTATACTTTACAAGTTTGATTTACATATTTTTGCTCCTGTTTCAGAAAGTTATGTCGAGTGGCATGCCTTTCCGCGTGTATGCTCCTTCAGGTAGGCTAGAGAACTCCCAGTACGCTCTCGACACCGGTGCAAGTATTCTGCAGATGTACGAGACCATGTTTGATCTTCCCTTTCCTCTCCCAAAGAGTGGTGAGTCAGTCAGTGCCCATTCTATATAGTTTATGTTTGTGGTCTGTATTTTCTAGTTAGGGTTACAGTACAGTACAACCGCTAGGTATGTGAATAATGACCCACTTAGACGAACTTATTTTGTCACTGTTTCTGCAGACATGGCAGCCATTCCCGACTACTCATCTGGAGCGACTGAACACTGGGGGATCATAACTTTCCGAGAGACAGCCATCTTTTACAACAAGAGCCAGAGCTCGGCATCCAACAAGCAGCGAGTGGCATCTGTCATAGCGCATGAGCTGGCACATCAGTGGTTTGGTAACCTCAGTAAGTTTTCTTTTTAGCTTTATTGTCAGTTTATTACAATGTTTTAAAAGAGGGAGAGATTTACTGTTTCTTATGATGGGAGTGACAAATCAATAGAGAGAAAGGCACAGTGGATTGCTTGATAGAATGTTATTATATAATTTGAAGTTTTAGTAGGTAATACAGTGCATAATTTATATCAAAATCCACTAAAAGAAGTTGAAAATAAGTAAAATGTCACACTGTGTACTTGTGTAATAAGGATGCTAAGCAAGTCTTAATTGTGCTGTTTACAGTATCGGAGTTAGGTTGAACTATTTTAACATTGGTATTATAATAAACTCTTCAATCATGTGAGATACAGATAGATTTTTTGGTATTGGCTGTCAAGTTAGGTCTGAAAATCAACTTGGTGTTTAGAAAACTGAGATAAAAGAGCTACTGATATTGAACACATTATTTGTTTTGGTATTGTGGTTGATTTATTTTCTTTACAGTGACACTTGATTGGTGGAATGATCTATGGCTCAATGAAGGTTTTGCAAGCTATGTGGAGTTCAAAGGAGTTGACCACATTCACCCAGATTGGGACATGGTAAGTGTACAACATACTTTCTCAGTTTCACCAAAATTTGTCCTCTAAATATTTGACATCTTCAACCTCCTGCAATCTGTACTTATATACGGGGTGTCTGGTGTATACAGTATATGCTGCCTTACTGATCTCCATGGAGATCACGTGAATGCCTTTACAGTATTGCAACAGCAATATTTTTCTCACTTTTTAGAGACTTTGTACATTAACAAGCGAGGAGAATGTTGCTGTTGTAATACAGTACAAGCATTCACATGATTTCCACGTATATCTATAAGGCAGTGTGTGTACAGGTATTAATTTTTCGAAGACACCCTGTATATTAGTCATTGAGGACACTAGGTATTGTTGTATAAAGATTCTGTCATCACATCCATCCAATCATGTAATCCATCACCATGCCAGGCTATCAAATCTCACATAATGCATGACCAGAGTTGTGTACCCATATTGTTCTCTCAGCACTTGTATGTTCACTTGATCATGCCAGAGACACAGCCATAATTCATCCTGTTTACTGTTTTCATTGCCTCTTTAGTCTACCTTAATCATTTTCTCATTTCCTCATGCCTTCTTGTTAGATTCATTATAGAACTTTTTTTTAGATCATTCCTTCCATATCCTGTTAATGTCATTTACATTACATCTTTTGTTTTCTCATGTTCCATCAAGTTAGTGTAGCATTACAACCTTCTATTTACTACTCAGCAGATCTCATTAATGTTATGTAGTTGTCAGCTTTATTTCCTTTCTCTTTCTTGCTGTCTTAAATGTTCAGACAAGACAACCCCTTGTGTCTCCCTGGTGGCTCTTCATATCTAACTGTTCATAGTTTTCTTTCTTACTGTTGTATTATCCATTTAACATTCCCTGTCTTACTGTGATTGTCTCTCTTTCACACATCTCTAGTTTTCCAACCTTAGCATCTATCTGTCTGAATCACAAAGTCCAAAAATTTTCCTTCATCTTAATTACTTCCCAATACCTCTCTCTTATGCATTTAGATGCATAGTATATAAGTCATAAATTTTAGCTTGAGAGTTTTTGAATAGCTGGCTCATTTTAGTGTTAATAAAGTTCTGTTCATGACACACAGGATTCACAGTTTTGTATAAGCAACTTGCAAGACGTGCTCATCGATGACTCAAAGTTGTGCTCACACCCAATCGTCCAAAAAGTAGAGACTGCTGATGAGATCAATGCAATGTTTGATTCCATATCATATGATAAGGTTTGACTTTATCTTTTTCCTGCATCTGGAAGCTTGTCCAAGATGAATGACCATCACTAATTTTTTGATAAACTGAACCAGTTACTGAGCCGTAATTTATTCACATAATTTTTGGTGTCTCTTTTTAATTGTATTATACTGGTACTTGTGAGTTCGATTTCTGTATTCACTCGATTTTTTTGGTGCTGATACTTTATGTTTTATGTAATTATTGTACCTCAATCTTTTATGGTGATTAGTTTTTTGTGTGTTTTGGCTAACTTTTGTAAATTTGGAAGGCTGTAAAACAGTGGTGGTGTTGATGATAATGTTTGAATTGGTATATGCCGGTAATAGAAAAATAACGACTCATTTTACTCACTGGCAGGTGTTTTTATGCAAATTCCAAATATTAATTATGATGTGTGACTTAGGGTGTGTAGTCCATAGTCCATGGATTTAGATATTGCAACTGCAATGAAAGTAATTTCTGGCTATAGTCACTGTCATAGCTAATTGAATGTGCTGTGATATGGTAACTGTGTTTATGCAGAAAGACCCCTGGGAATAAAGACCAGTAGTCAATGGTACAAGGAAATTGGTCAACTGCTAATGGCCAATGCTGACACATTTCTTGAAGTAATTTATTGTACCTAGAGAGAGAGAGAGAGAGAAATTAATTCTTCCAAAGATGGGAGTCCAGCCTCTGACTAGAACCTGTCCTTTGTGCTGTGTGAAGTAAGACATGTCACTTCCAGCACAGTACTGTACTGTGGATATAACATGTAATGTTGCATGAAAACTTAAAAGTACAATTCAAAAAAGAAAGCAGATAATGTGGGTCTAGTTTCACATTTATGTATTGTTGGCAGTACAACTCTTATGTGCTAGGCCATCATCATTACATCCCAGCTTGAATGTGGGAATGGTGTTGTCCAGTGTGACCCTACCAGACATGGCAGGTTTTCTCCAGGTACTCAGGTTTCCTTTTATGCTAACACAGAATCCATGATGTTTGAAAGCTTTAAATTAGATTTATTTTTGCATATTTTTAGAACAGTACCTGTACAATGTTTTAACTGATCAGAAGTAAAGACTGTGAATTGCATTTTACTGAAAGTGCTTTGTGATATGAAAAAATACAATTTTATATGAAAAATATACATGAGCAATAAGGATAAGGCAATAACAGACCTCGTGTGTATAGTTTCATAAGCAGCTACAAAGTTATATGGATTTTGATTTTGTTTGTCTCTCCTTAATCTTGTATAGTCACCGACAAACGTCCCGTCGCCTCTCCTGTTGTTCCATGAACTCCAAGATTCAGACTCATGGATCTCAAGCATTTATGGACAGAATAATGCATTAGTGTTGATTGCTTTGGGTTCACGAGTCTGAATCTCAGGGTTCATGGAACAGCAGAAGAAGTGACAGGACTTTTGTGGACGACTGGATTTCTTCATTTATAATTATATGTTATTATAGTGCTACTTGCCCAGGCGGCTCATGACAGAACAGTTTTATTTGTAGAAATATAATAATTTAACCAAGTATTTGATGTGACACAGGAATCTCAGTTCCTGACCAGGAATCTGCAGGTGGTGATGAAAAGTGACTCTTGCCTCAGTTCTCACCCAATTGTCAAGTGTGTGGATACAACTGATCAGATTAATGCCATGTTTGATGTCATATCTTACAAAAAGGTTCGTGTTGTCTGTTAACACTGCACAGTATTATATATTTAGTGTGATATTCAGGGACTACACCAGCTTGTGGCATAAGTTTCAGTAAAGAATGTTTACCCTAGTTTGATTGTCATTCTTCACTTTGGACAAGTTTATTTATAAGTCATAGATTTTATATCCATGTTTATTCTTTATCTTTTTAGTACTGTATAGGAGTTTTATACAGTACTGATTGAGATAATGATGAAATTCTTTGTAACCTTTTTTACTAATGTGGAGTACAAGTTTGGGACCATTTATTCGGCCAAAAGTAATTCCTGGACGAAGCGGGGATATTTCCAACTCTTCCCTATCTGTGAGCTATATGTTATGTTATGATTATTTTTCAAATCATAATTTTGGATAGATACAGTATATCTAACTTTCTTCATTTTCTTTACACAGTTACATGCACACTCAATCTTGCATACAAAGTTAAAAAAAATAAACATAATAATTGTCATAAGGTATAAAGTTTTACATATCTACGAATTTACATCTGTGAAGCTGTGTGGTGAGTGCGTGTGTGGAGAGGTAGGAGGGTCCACAGTGGAGCACCTTTGCTAAGGACACTGTTTCATTACTCAGGCGAGTTTCGACCAACTGTGACAGTGTGTACACGAACTTGTATCTTTCTTCTTTTTTTTGCTTTCATTTTTGCTATATTATTTTTCTGGTTTTACTATTGATGTTTATATGCCTAAAATGTTTAGTTTCAATTACTGTATACAGTTTACACAGTTAAAGCTGTACATTTTAGGTCTGGCTCTCCAGATTCTGGAAAAACCCTATCCGGCAAGCCCGAGGACCCAAGCTTGCTGGATAAATGGTCCCATAACTGTGGTAACTTTATTTACAAATGTAGAGAAGTTATATTTACTGTTGTAGATTTAACAAAGACTTTTTATACTGAATGTGAAATACATTACGTATAATAGAATAAAAAGTCATAATTAATACAGTACTGTAATAAGCTTCACTACAAGAATCGATAGAAATATATAGGTACACACTCTCCCAAAAGTATCCTTATGATTTTGTATTAGACAACATGTCACAAAGGACGAAGGATTTTGAAAACCCTACCGAGACAACAGGAGTCGCGGGGCCCATTTTGAAATTCATCAGGCCCTCAGTGAAGATACTTCTTGGAGCGAGTGTACATATAAAAAAAGAATTAGTTTAATAACTTACTTGTAATTGATTTAATATTGTCAGTTGAAAGGGTACAGTCACCTAAACTTATACTCGGTACAGTGGCTGGCACATTTTGTGAGATGAGGCACCTCTGTGGAATGTTTATCTAGCATCCTTAATCTGACTAATATTGGGTGGTTCCATTGAACCATTTCAGGAGTTTTAATACAATGTAAACAAGCAGAGAGTAGCCACATCTCACAAAATGTGCCTACCACTGTACTAGGTACAGTATAAGTGCAAACGACTGTATATCCTTTGCGTAGAAAATAATTTAGTCTGTGGTATCATGTTCTTGTTTCAGCCTTTGTGTGTGTCAACTTCTTCCAATTAATAAAAGTACATGTTCCATTTTCTTCATGCAGGGGTCATCTGTGTTGAGGATGCTGGAAAACTTCATGGGGGAGGCTGCCTTCCAAAAGGGCATTAATTCGTTCCTCAAAAAATATGCCTATGATAATGCAGTGACGCAGGACCTGTGGGCAGAACTTACCGCAGCTTGGTCTAGTTGTGTGCCTGATGGACAGAAGGTTGGAACAGTTGTGTTTATTTATACTAATGATTATTGTTTTGTTCCATAACTATCTAGCTTACTAGGAGGATTAAGCTCTAGTACTAAAGTATTCTCAGTATTATGTTAGAACTCTTGTGATGTGGGCAGGAAGCAGTATGAAAAAACAATTAGATATGAATATTTAACCTTTTGCATTTTCTTATTTAGTTTCTGTACCGGTATCTATTTGTTAATCTTTTTTATAATATTTGAAGTGCAAGGGGTAAAATAAATGGAAATTTGGGGGCCCTGATTTGTAAGAGTAACTCCTTAGCATAACTCATGTATTAGAGCACTTAGAATGGTTGAATAACAGCAGGTGAAGGGAGGGAGTTTCTGTTTTTCTTGATTAATCCCATCCACTTATTGTTAAAGTAGGAAAAGTCTCTCTCTCTCTCTTTATTTTGCATGTGATAAATTACAATTGAAAGCAAAGTTCACATATGTATGTGAATGACTCTTCCTCCCTAGAGTGATGTAGGGGCGATAATGGACACCTGGACACGCCAGATGGGTTACCCTGTAGTCACTATGGTGCGAACATCTCCTGAAACTCTGGTGTTGACCCAGAAGAGGTTCCTCCAGGACCCAACGGCAAAACATGAGTGAGGAAAATCTTGCATAAAATATATCGAATGGTACCTTAAACACCAGTTTTTATCAAAGTAGAAATAAAATGAGCATGCTTCTAGTACATATTGTCATCAGTGTGTCTACAGTTAACTCAATCTTACTTGTACTTCTTTCATTAATGGATTCTTGCATTTAAATTTGTTTATTAAAGGTAGTTAGGAAAGCCAAATTTCTTGAAGTGCTAAATATTAATAATTTCTCCGTACAGTCGATCATGTTCAGAGTTTGAGTACAAATGGGACATCCCAATAAGTTACTTCACCTCATCAGACTCCACTACCCAGAGGGCTTGGCTCTACCGGAAAGATGGCAGTTGTAAGTAGCCCTACAAAAAAACTTAGAAGTGGTATCTTTGGAAAAACAAAGGTACAGTTTAGTCTACAGAGGGAATATAATTTGTGACAAATTTTTATTCCCCTTAAACTTATCCACATTGTAACAGCCAAAATACAGATTTTTTTCCCCAGATCTTTATTTTCATTCTTTCTTTTTATCTTTTTTTTCCGCTTCTCACTTCTTCATCTTCTTTGGTAATGGTACACATAAAGGTCGTCATTCTTTTTAGTGCAGTAATGGGGTAATATCTTGTGTTAATCCAAGTGATGGCTTCTCTGCTTTGAATCACAAGTTCACTGTACATAAAGTTAACAAATATGGATTGAAGTTTGAGTATCAGTTTTCTTTATTTTGTTATAACTAACATAACTAAGTGAGCTTATAGAATTCTTCAGTAACTCCCCCTACCAAAAACTCTTGACATTACCCATAGCTAAAATATAAGATGATATCCCAGGATGAAAAAGTTTGTGAGAGATAAGATAACCAGCTGTTATTTATTTATTTTTATTTATTTATTTTTTTTTTTCAGTGACATTGAAAATAGATCCAGGAGTAACATGGGTTAAGGTGAATGTTCAACAGAAGGGCTACTACCGTGTCAACTATGAGACTAACATGTGGAAACAGCTAGAAAAACTTTGTGCCGATAAGGTGAGTTGGATAAGTTTATGCACTTAAAAGTACTTTGACTCATATGGATATCTTCTCTGGCTGTGTAATAAGAGTGGCTTATGTTGACCTCAGTCCAAATAAATGGCTTTTAATTTTGTTTTTTGCTGTTTTTTATTTGTCCAATTATGTTTGAGCTTTTCCACTGGTTTATCATATTTAGTCTTGTCTGTTAGTGTCTGTATTTGTCCATTGGTGCATTTAATCTTGTTCATACAATTCTTATACTGTATACTAGGGTACGTACTTTATTTTGTAGTTATTATTTGATTGCTTGTTATGTAAACAGTGTGCTTCCACTCAATCACAGAAGATAACACACGGTCATTTTTTATATTGTGAAGAGTTATGTGACAGTTAAACACTACCGCACATATATAACTTCTTGCAGGTTGTGGGCACTGCAGAACGAGCGAACCTCTACAATGACGTCTTTGCACTCGCTGATGCTGCCTTGGTGGATTATTCTGTAGCTCTCAACTTCAGTCGTGGTCTGGCGTCTGAAACAGATTACGTGCCCTGGGACTCGGTATACACGCACCTCATTGTTATGACAAGATTATTAGCAGAAACAAAAGCCTGTCAGCCATTCCAGGTAAGGTATTTTTGTATTGTTCTTTTCAAATTTTTTATCTTAAACGTATTGGATCTTATGCAGTGTAAATATTGAGTCTTAAAGGAAAAAAGAACACCTAGCTACAGTAGAAACTGGCTCTCACTTGTTAAGAATATTCTGAGGGTGGACACTTATCTTTCTCTGTGCTGGGAACATAATTTACTGATGGAGAATAAAATATGTACAAGTATGTATGCATAAAGATACTGTTTATCATTGTTTTGTTAATCTTAAAGATAATTATAAAGGTCACAAGAGATAGAGATGAAGAGGAAAGATAAAAGCATAACTTGGTAGTATGAACAAGTTTTCTCCACTGTAGTATAAATAATAATGAATATTATTATAATAATATTCAGTAAAATTGTCACACGGGTTTACAATTGAATATGCATGTATATAAACTATGCAGTTATGCAGTTCAGCATGAATACAAACAATGTAGGTGTACACTGTACGTGGGCTGTGGGGGTATACAGTTTCTTATGTGCCTAGGTAGTGCAGGTATACAGCAATGGTAAACAGTAAGGCATTTGACCAAGGATAGTCAACGAAGCTGCCAGGTGCTTATGATTGCTTCTCATATACCATAGGCACAGTTTTTATGCAGTATGAGCCAAGATAATTTAGAATGTTTCACAGGATTAAACTGGAATTTGCTTCAAAATACCTGTAATATAGTGTTGACAGGTAAAGTGTGCAGTACTGTACAGGTTTAGTGTTTCACGTGAAAATCTAGAAATTGTTACCGAAGAAAAGATTTTTTATATGCCCTCCCAGTTGTCTTAAGTATATGTAATAAATTATTAAATTCTATCACTGCAGGTATAATTTTTATTGAACTCTCTCATAGGAGTATGTGTCCAGCCTAGTAAAGCCTATATACACTAGCCTTGGATGGGCAGACAAAGGCGACCATTTACAGAAGTAAGTGTACTGAAAGTTTTCTGCAGTATTACAAATCTTGCTCTCTCTCTTTCTCTCTCCACTTGTCTTCCACCACCACCATCCTCTACCATTTATCTCTTTCTTGAAGTTCCCGCATCTCTTGATCCACCCCTTATAGGTGTGAAAAAGAAGAAAAGATAACAGAGTGATAGCCAATTTTGTGCTGTACAGTATTCACTTGGTTGAAGGATTAGAGAGAGTAGATTTGTGAATATTGAGAAAAGACATGTAATACACCGTCATTTTTTATTCAAGAACCCTAAATGATTACTATATTTTAGGATGTGCAATAAACAGGACCCTAAAATTAGTAGGAATAAAGTCTGATCATTGTGAAGAACATAAATGTTTTTCACAATATAATTGGATTTTATTCCTAGTGATTTTTATGTTCCTTTTTATTGTACATCCAAAAATCTAGTTGTCATTTAGGGTTCTCAAATAAAAAAAAAATGACCCTATAGAAGTATGGCACCAGTGAGAAAAGTAAAGTGAATGAAATTTTTATTGGTGTTCATGCTGTAAATGTTTTATTAACATGTTTTCCTCACCACACAAGTGCCCAGCGACTGGAGTATTGTACATACAGGTATCCCCCTATTTACGATGGGGTTACGTTACTGAAAAACCCATCATAAGTCGAAATATCATGAATCGGGATCATTATAACATGGGGTTCAATGGGATATGTTCCCAGCCAGTCCAACACCCACATCCACATGTATTCACAAAAAAAAAAAAATCCTGCAATAATAATAATAGACATAAAACACAAACAAAACTCACCACATCATTAAGAACAAACCTGGTCATCATCACATGTCCCCTTCGAGGCTAAAGGGACTCTTGAAACTGGAGTGGAGACATCACTCAGACTCCCACACAGATTCACAATGTCAAGCTTCATCTCCAGAGACACAGTTTTTCTGGGTGCCTTGGCCTTGCCAAACATTTTCAAAATTACACTACTCACTTCACAGTCACAAAAACAGAGCAAAAGCACTTGTTACAAAAGCAGAACGAAAGCACTTGTCACAAAAACAGAGCAAATGCACTTGTCACAAAAACAGACTTCACGATAAGGTAAAAACAATGATAGCGGCTGACACTGCTCACATAATGTTTACAACAAAAGAGGCAAAGCACTTTACAGTCACAAAAAACATAGCAAATATCACTTCACAGTTACTAAAACAGAATAAAATGAGAATGTTAGTGATATCCTCTCACTGTAAGGTAAAAAAACAATGATAAGTAGCAACACCAATACTGACCAATAATTGTTGAGCTACACGATCACAGGCATGTGCGATCATCATGGAACAAAGCTTGGACTGTAGTGCACCAGGTAGCCACGTGGCAGCGCATGGATAGACCGCAGCTGATGAGTGCAGCGATATTTTGCCTGGATGATGACCATTGCTCATGCAAATTTTTTATCGTAAATAGTGGGGTGGTCTTCATACATTACCATCATTCAAGCAAAATATCTTAGATAGGGAGATCATAAATCATAGGATACTGTACCTGTATTTATGTTCAGATCCTAAAATTTCACTCACATTCATACTCCACTACCCACCAGGTTACTACGGGTTGATGTCCTGTCCTTGGCCTGTGTAAATGGCAACAAACTTTGTCTTGAGGAAGCTGCCACTGAACTAGAGAGATGGATCACCGATGTTTCACACTTTCTGCCTCCCGGCACTCGTAGACAAGTAAGTTCCGCACACCAAGCTCACAAAATTGAAATTTAATTAATGATAAAAAAAAATATCAGAATAATTTTATTAGGAAGGAAGGAAGGAAGAGAAGAAGTTCTTTATTGTGTTTTTTAATTGGCTTTTCATTATCATGTCATAATATTTCTCCTTTGTAATTACCTTTATACTTGATGTAAAGATTGATTTGATGTGAAACCTTGTGAATCAGTGTGAAGGATAAGGATTTTTTATGTACCTTAAATATCCTCTATGAGGTTTCTTTATCCTTTGATTTACCACACTGAAGAATAAGGAAAGAGTGAAGACAATAGATTTACAGTTTGTACTCTTTGTTTTATGTTTGTCTGAGATTCCTGTTGTGATTACCCTCCACAAAACTTTTGTTCCCCCTCCCCCCAAAAAATTAAATAATCTACTGTACTTGCTATTTTAGATGTCTTAGGTCCTCTTTTCTTTTTCTCCATAAGCAAACACTAACTGTAGAATGTAATGCAAAGAAAATTCCCATAGAGGTTCTGCACTATGTATAAATTGACAAATTTTGTTTGTGAACAAGGTGTATCGGTGGGGCATGGTACAGTCAGGATCCCAGGAGAATTGGGAAGTGATGTGGCAGCGTTCACTGGTCGAGCAGTGTGCCACTGAACAAGACAATTTCTACTTTGGTTTAGCCAATGCTCAAGATAAAAATATTTTGCAGAGGTAAGTAAAAATCATGTGTGGCAATTGTCTAAATGTTTTTTTTAGTTGCAGTACTGTATTTTTATAGAACAATAATGCTGGTTGCTAAGCTTAATGGTTTCACTACATGTATAATGTAAAGCCTTTTTGCCATTTAGTTATTATTTGGTTGAACAATACTGTAAATTTATTTATTACTTACTTTAATCGGAAAAGCTTTTTTTTTTTTATATACCTATATCATTTCAATACCCAGCCTTTTTACACCTTATTGTCTACATTGGTCCCTAGGTTAACGAACACAATTCGTTCCAGAAGGTCGTTCGTTAACAGAAAATTTCGTTAAACGAAACCATTGTTTCAGTGGGATTTTGGGTAATTGGTTCCAGCTCACCGAAAATTACATACAAACTAAAAATAAATGCAGTAAAGTACACTTACTTTGAGGTGTGCATGTAGAAGGCTCCTGGTTGATGATGATGATGATTGGAATTAGAAGTAGGGGTGGAGGAGAAGGGAGAAGAGAAGGAAGTGGGGGTGGAAGAGAAATCACCCCATGCTTCATGCTGCCATTTCACCCATAAAATTTTAAGTTCACTAGGTGTAATTCAAGATTATTTTTTTTAAATCAACATTGCACTGCTCTATATATTGTCAATATGTAAAATAAATTTCAGAATGACCAATAATTGTACACGGTACTGTAAAAATGTAAAAATAGTTTATGTTCAAGAGAGTCTCAAGCAAGATGTTTTCTCCACTGAGCAGAGACACAAACTGACGCCTGCTGGGTGAGTCAAGTGGCTGTTTGGCGCGCTAAAAACTAGTTTCCTGTACTTCAATTATGTTCAATAATTGTTAAAATGACTAAAAAATTTAATATAAAACTTTTAAAATTATTGAATAGTACAACCTTCTTGATATTTACTCAAATGGGAACGAATTTAAACCCTAGAACCGATTACTGTATTGGTGGACTAATACTCCAGCTGGTGAGCAAGCGAAAACATGTTGAGAAGAATTTGTAAGGAATTCGTTAACCTAATTTTTTTCGTGAACCGAATTGAAGATTCTTATGGAAGGTAATTCTTTAACCGAAACTTCGTTAACCGAGGCGTTCGTTATCCGAGGGATCACTGTACTGTACTTGCTACTCAGTACCTTGTCTCCCTCTGGTGTCCATTCTGTTCAACTTTTTATTCCAGATCCCATGTCTGTATCTACTCCAGCATTGAGCTGCAACAGATATTTTAAGTGCAGTATAACCTTAAAGTAGCCCCAGTTTAGCAGATGCAATAAAGGGTTATTACCTAATGAAAAACTGTCAGTGTATGAATCCTATTTATCCAAAACATCCTTATACTTTGTCTTATTTTTTTCTCCCTCAAAGGTGTATTAAACATCTCCAATATTTTCTTATTATTTTCATCTCCCTCAAAGGTACATAGAACTAGCCCAAGATGAAAAGAATGTACGCAGCCAAAACTTGTACAGTGTGCTGTTATACATCTCGGATAACCCTGCTGGTACTGACCTAGTCTGGGATTGGGTTAGGTGAGTAAAGTATTATATTTAGTTGATGAAATTTTGAGGACATCATTTCTTCTGAACAATTTTAGAATGTGAATTTGTGACTAAATGGATTTGTATCTCTATAGGTCAAATTGGGAATGGTTGGTCAACCGTTATACCCTAAACGACAGGTATCTTGGCCAACTCATCTTCAACATATCCAAATATTTCTCCACATCAGAAAAGCTGACTCAGGTAATCCTACTGGTGTTCACACCCACCATTAATTTGTCTTGGTAAAAGTAGTAGAGAAACTTCCCATTACAGAACATCTGAACTATCTACATGTACTAACTATACACTGCAATTATATGTATCTTTAGATCACAGACTGTATGTGATCTACTAAAGAATTCTTTTAGATCTCGTGACTTTACAAGTACGAAAGCGTCATTTGCTTACCCTAGCATTTTCTCACGACACGCCACTGGTATCTCCATTTGTTGATACAGTTTATTCCTCATTATGATGTCCTGGTCCTTGAAACTCAATATATATTTCATGGGAGCATGATGATTATCACCCGGGTTTTATCCTTCCTGTTTTGTTATAAGTAACCTGTTCATACAGTGTTTGTGTCAACACTATATTAATCTGCTTTGTGACATAAACATATGTAGTATACTGTATTGTAGTTGCTGCATAAGTTTTTTTACATGTTATTTACATAATCCATCTTATTTTAGTCATACAAGTGTTCAAACAAATATGACACCTTATTAATACATTTATCTTAGGCATTTTCGATGTAGACCTGTTGCCTTTCTAATACTGTACTGTGAATACTGTAGAGTTTTTGCCAACTCCATTAATTATTTTTCAGATGGAGAAGTTCTTTACTCAGTATCCAGATGCTGGTGCAGGGGAGTTGAACCGGCAGCAAGCGCTTGAATCCATCCGTTTGAACATCCGTTGGGTGAAGTCTTATTCCACCACCATCCTTAACTGGCTTAACTCACAAAAGAAATGAGTTTAGAAATATCTTCATAAAAATTTTTATAATGTCTGCAGGAGTTGTGTATAAAAGGATCAGAATTTTCTATGTATATTAGGTAAGTCAGAATGGCATGATTTTCTACCATGGTCAATCTTACCTCAGTGATACTTTTTATCACTGCCTGTTTTTCACAATGACAACTGAAGAGGCATTTCTAATATTTGTAATTCATTGTGAGAGAAATCAATTAAGTTCTTTAATATCAAATCTTGTGACTCAGAACATTTGCTCGACTCTTAAGTCTCTTACATTTTCCCTAATCGATGCTTACATACAAGAAATTGTTTTTATATTTTTAAGTCATTACTTTAAAACTTACACTTCAGTTTAGTTTTATTGCCTATTCTTGTAGATGAACCTCAGAATTATTTTTTACAATAAAAAGTAGGGGTTCAAATGTTGAAAAATAAAAGACCAGGTCTTAAATGTGTTGATTTATGCGAGATGATGGCACAAACATAAAGCACATCAAGCTGTCATGTACAATTACAGAGTTCCGAGCATATGTAATAAGGCCACTTGTTTTACAACTGATTAGTGTTAAACAGGTTTAGAACAAGACTCGGGTCTGATGCTTTCATCCAGAATGAACCCAAGTCAGTAAATAAAGCTTCTCTGTTCACTAAACAGTGAGTGAGTGAAGGTGTTCCTGGCACAGACAAGAGAAATGTTACAGTAATAATTAATGTGTAAATATTCTATGAAAGAATGAAATAAATCCAAAGAACATGTTACAACCAACACATATATCAGAATTTAACACACTTTTATACATTATTTAGGTGAATTATTTATACCAAAAAATTTTTGGAAGCGTCTCACAGCTTTTTTATGAAGGATCTTGTTTTGGTGTGTGGGGATTGATGTCCAGAACAACCGTCTCTGAAAATATGATGTGAGTTTAGGTGATTTCAGCATTTCACTTTACTAATTATTGCAACACATCAAATACTGTGTTTCTCATTAAAGCAAGGATTCCATTTACATGGCAATGGTAGTGTTAGTGCCAAAAATAGATCACATTGAAATGTGCACGGTTGTTTCCATTGGCACAGTTGCATTAGCATTATGCGTTTGCAGTACATTCCAATCACACACTGTAGCAATTGAAAATGCTACCACAAAGAAACGGACATGGGAATCCCACTGTGACATCACTATCCCTGTGTTTGCTCTCCTCACCCAGCAAAATACCTCGAGGAAAAAAACAGTTTTCTGTCGAGGAGACTGTGAAGTTGATTTCACTCAGAATATATCCCAACTTATTTTTGTAATGCATTTATATAATACATTTAAAAGCCTTTATATATAATTTTACGGGATGCATACAATTTTGACACAACTGTTCTAAAATGAAGGTTTGTGGTCTCAATAAAAGGTTCACTGGAATACTAATTTTTGTGTCGCTTAATATTTATCTACGGGTCCTATTATTTCTTATTTATACGCATGACTCACCTTATACAGATTGCAAGTCGCTGCCTTGGGCAAATGACTTCTCTGTTCCTACAGTATTTCACCAAATCCTCCTCAACCAGGGAAAAGAACATGTGCGAACTGTTGTCTGCTCAGACGAAAATATTCTTTGAATTTCCTTCATCCAAGCTTAGGTCTTTTACCAGAGTACTGTAAGGTCCATATTTGGTCTGATTCAGCTGCAATCTATGAACCCACTACAGGGGGTATCTATGTTTCCTTGTCCATTTTCCTTTGCTTGTTGCCTGATCTTATACAAACCCAGGATGTTTAATAGCATCATAGCTTCGATGCACTAGGCGCCATCTTTTCTGTCCTGTTCCCGCTAGAAAGACAGCTGCATGCATATGGAAATAGGGGTGTTCATTTTTCAGGGCAATTTAACGCATACTGCAAATGCATACCGCACTGCAAATGCATATATGGAATCCTAGCTTTAAAATGGAATGAAAAGAGTTACCAGTATATCTTACACCATAGGATATAATTGCCAAGCTCTTTCCTGTGGTTAAATATCAAAACTTAGATTTACACAGTTCCTCTTCCTTGAGCTATTCCAAAAAGTTAAGGATTAGCTTCTTATAGGATCACATGAACAAGCCATCTCTGAATAACCCATAACCTCTGGGTCACTGTCCTCCTCACTGCTTTCATATCTTGCCCCCAGCACTTCCCACCCTTCCACTTGAATGTATTTTGATAATGTCACTACAGGTACAGTATCACACACTTCCTCCAGGCTTCCAGTATCTTCTCATCTTTCCGTATTTCCAGTAAGAGATCCAACAGCCTCTCTACCCTATCATCCCACATCTTCACCAATTCCACTACTACTTCCATTGGTGTACAATACTTCACACATCCTATCAAGTCCATCTTTATATATACTGTACATGTATATACAGGTATACTGTATATACAAATACTCTACTTTTAATATTTCAACTGTCCTACTATTTTAAATAACCTGCAACTTGTAAAATTCATATTTATGATCTATATGTTATGGATTAAAGACCTGTAAAATCCATACTGCTAAATTGCCCACTGATAGAACCTGTCTTTGCCTGAGGGCCTTGATATGCTGAATGGTTAGCAGTATTTTTTAACCTGGTTACCAATAAATCAAGGTTAAAGGAGCCTGAATTGTGCATCTATTATGGATTTCAACCTCTGACTTGAAGCCTCACTGACTTAAATCTTTGTACAGTATTGGCCTTGATTCAACTGGGGGAGAGGAGCTGCTACCATTCAACATTTCGCCACCCTCTGAGAAAGGAAGGCTCTGCCAGGGAAAGATTATATCAGTACAGATCTTACAGGTTTTTCCTCTTGGACATAAAATTAATTTCAAACTCCATCTCTTCATTTCATCTCCATTGATGATCAAGGTCAAAGCAGCATTGTCAGATGTTTAACATGTTAATGTTGTCACATCTGGCTCATCTTGCTATTATACTTCCAAATCACAGACACAGATACTGTCGTAATATATCTCATTTCTTTATGAATCCTTTTTTACACAGACATAATGTTCAGTTTCATAATGAAGTATGTTATAGATCAAAGTCCTTAAACTGAAAAGACTTACCATGTTTTGAATATCAGGAGACATGGTTGGAGAGAGAGTGAGTTCCAGGTGTTGAGGAGATTGGCTGATGACAGACCTCCACTTGAATCCAAGTGTGTTGTCTGGAGTAGGGTCGCTACACCAAAAGCCATATTCAGATTAGTTCGTTAGGTAAAATAATGACCAATTAAATAATTTTAGAAATATTAATAATACAGTAGTTATGTTTTTTTAGTTAACTCCATGTACTTCATGACCCTTATACCCTTCTTGATATTTGTTTAATATACTGTAATACAGGCTAATTTTTTTTATTAAAAAACCCTAAATGATTACAGTACACTATATTTTAGGATGTGTAATAAACATGAACCTAAAAATCAGTAGGACTATAGTCTGACCATTGTGAAGAACATACAGATAATTGTTCTTCACAATTATTAGATTTTAGGTTTTCTGTTTATTGCACATCCTAAAATATAGTGTACTGTAATCATTTAGGGTTTTTAATAAAAAAATTAGCCTGTATTACAGTATATTAAACAAATATCAAGAGGGGTATAAGGGTCATGAAATAGACAATTTACATGCTTAACTCTCCAATGGGAAACAGACAAAGGGGAATTTGAGAATTAAAAATTATGTAAAACAAAAATTACTCATGTACTGATTTGCGTAAAGTATACTTGTACAGTATTACAAATTGTTGAAATTAAACTCTCAGGAAATTACCGTATTTAAAAAAAGTTATAGAAATGATTCACAGTAGAAAATTTAATTACACTGGGGCAAAAATTTCCCTTGAATCTTTAAAAGTTACAGAGGTTCTTTTAGACGTCATAATCTGACTCAACTTTTTGGCTTGTACTTATGCAGCCAAAAGTACAGTATTTAAAAGTAACCTACACATACTTAAAGGCTAACTCTTACAACCCACATATACAGTACTTTGGAGAATACTATAAGGCTAATTCTTATAAAAACTGAACAAAGGACCTTAATTGTATGCTATTACAGCTTATACAAACAACTAGTTCTATTATGGTATATGTATAGGGTATTATGAAGAAACAAGACATAGTTCACCCAGTATAAGCAAAGTTGGTCCAGAGATCAACCATGATGTGACTCATGTTTAGATCATCTCCCTCCAGCAGTGGCCTATCTTGTAAGCAGGTCAGGTACTGGAACTCATCTCCATGACTAACCCCTGACGACCCAGAATGAAGGAGGTGTTTTATACTGTTTGTAAATCAGTCTTACATCCACTTATAATATGCTTGCTATGTAGTGTACAGTATGTATTGCTCAAGTGAACATAGGACAGATCTATATTTCATGATAAAACAATTTTTAGAAATATGAAAGTACATTAAAGTTAACTACTGTATAATAGTTACCAGTGAACTTAGTTTTGTTGGTATACAGTGATAAAGGTGAATGTGTATTGAGTACTATATTCAGCTGGTAACACAGAAATTGGAATCAAAATCAGATAAAGCTGGTTATCATTACAAAAAATTATTTGCCATGTGAAATGGCTGTAAGGTGTATGGTCCATAATGACAAGCACATAGATGTGCAGCCATTGTATTGTACACTTTAATTCCTTTTCAATTATATTAACCCTTAAACTGCAAAATACAAACCTGTGGCTACCTCTACTGTGTGGAAAAAAAATCACTATTTTAACTTAGATTTACTTCATACTACAGGTATAATTATTAATACACATGCAAAACAAAAGGAGTGCACTTCTCGAGCCTAAGTGATGGACATGCAAAATCTTAGTACGGTACAATATAGGCAAATCCACACTGTGTACAAAAAATAAGTGTATTTTGAGGATTGACTGTAATTAGTTAGATAAACCATACTACTTTTTCACTCCATACAATATAAGCTTTTCCTGCCATGAAATTGGGGAAATGGTGATTTGTTTCTTAGCATTCAGCAGCTAGTGGATCACGCCACCTTATTGGCTTCATGCAAATATACCAAAGGGTTGATTCACCATCTAATAAAGTTAAATGGATGATATTTTAGTAAATCCTTAATCCCTAAACATATGGGAGTCGGAATAACAAAGGCTACAAATCCTGTTTAACCTCTGTACTCACAGTTTTCTTTGACAGTGAAGTTGGTGATGTGGTGGAAGGAATGTTTTCCACGATACTTGAACTCATAGGAAAACACACTCTTATTGGTCAGGCCCATTTCAGCTAACCGCCATGTCTCATCATTGCTCACAGCAAATAAACGGTCAGTGAGTAACTGTTGAAGTACAGGTTTGGGGGTGGGTGTTAATGTTAGTAATGTGACCATTATATAAAGTGAGCTAGAAGAATTACCATAAGTCTTATTTAAATATCGTACATTATTAAATGTTGCTAAGAATAAAGCCTTAAAAGAAAATCAATATTTCTAAACTTTAACAAATTAATTCAAAGAGGCTTCCACCCCCTCCAGTTTATGTCTACTGTGCATAGTTCCTCATAACTTGGGGGAACTAAAAGAGCAGTGACTGGTAAGGACAGGATATCTTATGGCCAGACCTCACCTGGGAATGGTATACTTTATCTTCCCACCCACCTGTGTAATTGATGGTTCGTCCTCCTCCCTGATGTGGATGCCGCCCACATAACACTGAAATGCCAAATGGGTCAGGAAAAGTGGAAACTCATCTCCCTCTTGGAAGGCCATGACTCCTTTTGGGCCAAGAGTGTTGAAGTTCTGTAGAAATTTTAATCGCTCTTTTGGGATACCATATAAGACTGTGGATGAAGGAGGAAAATGGATTAAGAGTCTGGACACATTAGCTGTTCTGTGTGAAAATGAATGTGTTTAGTTTCTGGCTGTGAGAAAAGTTTCAATCATAATACTGACCTAACTGAGAATAATTAAAAAAAAGGTCACCTTGTGTTATGATAGCTCCATCATGTGTATTGATACCAGTCATGATGTCCACTTGGTGAAACTTTCCCTTCATCATGAGCAATGCTGGATCTTCAGGCAGGTAGTTCCCATCCACTCGGGGTGTCATTATCAATGGCAGATTAATAAACACCTGGAGAATAAGAAAAGCTGCCTGTGTCTTCTGATTTACATAATTCATTTGCAGAGGTTATTATTTCATATTACCGGGTATACCATGGCTCAAATAAAACTTTAGTTACAGAACAAGAAAGTAAATTACCACGGCTCAACACTTACATGAAACTTATTAATAGCTGGTATAAGGTGCTTAATTGAGACCTTTTGTAAACACTGCAAAAGTCTGACACTATTTTTGGCAGAGTTTATGTCTGGCAAGGTGGAAATGTTACAGTTGAACATATATCCGATACTCTCAGCTACTTCCTTGTGCTTTCTCCACATTGCCCAGGGAGCCAATGCTGACCCAGACTGCATGATAGCCCGTGAGAATAGACCTAAGGAGAGAAAATATAACTGTTATAAGTGTTTACATGTTCAGCAAATGGATGGATTATTCAGGATACTATTTGTGGATTTGGACATGAAGCTTAATAGGAAGTAAATAATTAGGATCTTCTTCTAATCCCGGGTCACAGGAACACACACTGCCTGCCCCACTAAGTGTACAGACTTGGTACTGTAATTTTCTGTACTGATTAGGTCCCTTCATTAACTTAGACACCACAGTAACATACAAGATATTCTCACAAATACGGTATACAAGTACTGAAATGCCAAGATGTGGTAGTCTCACAAAGAGACAAACAGGTATGGAATATCAAAGACTGGGGAGTGGGGAAAGAAAAAGGAAGGGCAGTAAATGATAATTACTTCACCAATGACAATTTACCTTAAATGAACTATGAAACAATTAATAGATGATTTGCAAACATTACTTATACAGTTCAGACATTTACAATGGTGAAACATGTTCCCATTATCTCTAACTTCTTGAAATTCAGAGTCCCCTTTCTACAGTGTGTTAACCAATCTATGGGAATGTTATAGAGGAGCTTACACACAGGTCGGCACTTTTCACAAGGGCTCTGCAAGTAGGTGGTTGCCTAAGGTGACAACATCTGGAGGTGCAAAAGTTTTTATCAAACTTATATACAATGCCATAATTTAAATAAGAGCAAGAATATTGTTAATTATATTATAGAAGAAATGCAATACTGTACCACAGAAAACAGTTTCATCTCCTGACTACAGTTAAATAATTTATGGTATGTACAATATTTCTACCTAGAGGGGGGGCTACTTACCCTTGGCAAAAGGGGTCAGCATTTGGAAGTGGACGGAGGCAGCTCCAGTATTCCCGCCAAAGATAGTAACCCTATTTGGGTCTCCCCCTAAGTACATGATGTTGTTCTGCACCCACTGGAGGGCCAGTGTCTGATCCTTTAGCCCCAGGTTTCCTGGTAGTACCTCATCCTCCGTGGAAAGAAAACCTGAAGAGACGCATTTCTCCAGATTATAGTGTTGTTATGAATATTTTTTTTCCTAAAAAACAATTCAATCATCTGAATAACTATGAAATGTGAATTATTACTTTCCTTTACTTTACTTTAGTTTCTTCACCACTGATCAGCCTGTATCTGTACTTGCTACAGTTACAGTTATATCTAAGAACTTTTATTGTGAGCATTATGAAATTCTGTCTACAACTGGTTATTTGAGATTATATACAGGATATACAGTATGTAGAAACATTACTGACCGAGCACACCAAGGCGGTAGTGGATGGTGACAACTATCACGCCCCGGGTGATAAGTGGCATAGGGTGGAAAAAGGCCATGTCCCCTGCAAGGAAGGCGCCGCCATGGATCAACACCATCACAGGCAAACTCGCTGTCTCAAACTACAAGAAAAGAAGATGTGTATGTAGTGAACAAATGCCACCAAAACCATCAAATTTCCTACACTGAGCTTTACAGTACAGTATATTCATTACAAATACTGTGTCATGGAAGAATGAAAATTGAGACGTTTCCAAGAAAAAACTCACCTGTGGAGTAAACACATTGAGGTACAGACAGTCTTCCTTGCCCTCTACCTCATGGGAGGCATTAAATGAAAAGGGAACCTGAGGACACTTGGGTGGTGACTTTGACCCATCCCTGACACCAGACCATTGCTCCAGGGGTACAGGGTCCTGAGGGAAAATAGTCACGCCAATATATTCTTTGCTTATTTTTTGTTTTGGGCAGTAGACGTAATTCTACAATGGAACATATTTTGCAAACTAACAATCTGACAAAAAAGGGATACAGTCAGTTCTGCTACAATGCGAGAGTTGTGTTCTTGTAGAACCTAGCGTTGTAGAAATTCGCACAATAGAAATAACAGGGCTTATGGAGAAAATAGGGTTAGGTGCAGATTACTCGAAATCGAAAAAATTTAGTAGTTAGCCTAGCACAAAGGATAGCACAGTCTAAATAATTGTTACATTCATATCTAATAATGAAATCATACAGTAAATGTAACACTTTACCTTGAAAAAATATGAATATAACTTGATGGGGGAGAAGGGTGATTTTGAGGTTGATAACATCAAGCTTCTCTTCAAGTGTTATAGCCTTTCTTTTATGATCACCGCCGGGAATGCGATCACTAGAACGCTTTTTGGAGATATTCTTCTTTTCCATATTCACAGTTAATACCACAAAATTGGAGAAATAGTAAGCAAAAATCACTGAGGACGCTTCAAAACAACCCACGTGTTTCAACTGATCATGTGATGGAAACAGAGAGCGCAGGTGTAAAACGCTATTAGTCCGCACTGCGAAACATTATTTTTATTTATTTTTTTCATGCAGTATTTATGGGAACAGCTAAATTTGCAAAAAATGGATGAAATTTATATTGTTCCTATCACAAAACACATGAATCAATTGAACATGTGATGTCGAACGTAAACTGTAAACACTGCATAACCCCGCGACAGTACACTTAAAACGTTTGAGTGGAATCGCGTTACAGCCAACACGCGTTTGCGTTTTACAAATATTGTTCTTCTATTCATCAATCGTGTTATAGCCAATTCGCGTTGACAAAACACGCGTTGTAAAAGAAATGACTTATTATAAAATTCAAATATTATTTCGGTCCTCAAATATTTTATACGTTGTCGGGCTGTTTATGTGACTTGAATATTAATATTGTATCTGGTAGAATACTTTTCATCATACTGTACAGTACTTGTAATATTAGTCACAGCTTGAGTTTCATCGTGGAGAATTGAGGAATAATTCCTCAACTTTTTATGGAGAACAACCTCCCAAGTCCCAACTGGCTAGTGAACTACAAGTGGATAAGTAAAACAGTCAGTAAGTTAGTACCTACCCTGAACCTGAGCTCCCCAACAGGCGGCTGGGCATAAGGTATCCCCTTGAAGGCGTAGTAGACATGACCATCATCAGTGTGCTTCTGTTCCCCTGAGATACGGCCTTGGCTGATGTACAGCTCTACTGATGTGGCATTAAGATGGTTGCACATCTCCACCCTCACTGCCACTGCCAGTATGGTCAACAATGCTTGCATGTTGCTGCTGGACCACTACAGAGATGCAAGGTTAGTCCTGCCACACATATGGACACAATTCCATTAATTTCCTGAGATGAAGTAATAAAGATGCAGATATCTGGAGATTTCAATTTTTTCCTTATTTTTACCTACTCATTTAAAATCATCTAATTATTTTTATATGACAATCCCTCCTCAAGTCATTCTTGGCCTATCCCAGGCTCTCCTCCCCTCCACATTTAGGTTTCTGCACATCTTGATGCAATTGATCTTATAGTGGATTCCTCCCCTACAAAAGCCGTGTGTCGCTGACTAGCCGACCCACGAATTCACCAGCCTGCCCTCGTGTCCAAGGTCAGCAACCAGCGCCACCTTACATGACTGAGGTCAACTATTAAGCCACGCCTACCCCTGCTATATAAGACCTCACCTCGTGGTGACCTACCTCTTTCTACCTACAGCCACCAGCAACACAACCTCCTCCTCCGCTCCTGCCTGCCGGCTCCCACTCCAGCCGGCGACCATGGCGACCCACAAGCTGGTCCTCCTCTGGTCACCCTCACCAACCAGCTCTCCCTACTCAACGCTTGTAACCATGCTGCCTTCCCAGCACCAAGCTGCATTGTACATCCAATACAATATGTATACAGAGAGCACATTGTGAGTTTCCTTTCTCCATCCCATCCTGAGTGTGAACCAATATCACGTACCCCACAAATGGTGACCCCGGAGTGACGCACTCACACAGGATGGAGGAGAAACTGATCACGCACTCTGGAGGAGAAACCCAGTCTTCAAGCAACATGGAAGACTGGCTTATCCACACAGAGGCAGCTCTCATCGGCTCTACAGCTACTGTCTCTACACTGCAGGTTAGACACCCTAGAGCAGCACTGCTTCTCTAAGCAGACACCAGCTCCTCTTCCTGCCCCAAGCACCATGTCCTACCGACCCCAGCACACCCGTCCTGCCTCAGACGCCGCCCCCGGCCCAGCAGTACCCCCTGCCACTGTCCTGGACCCTCCTCCGCTCCTGCCTGGCAGCCCCTGCTCCTGATGCGGCCCCACACACCCCTCTTCTCTCCCTCAGGTACTCCCTGCTACTGTCCTGCACCCTGCTGCTGTCGTGAACCCTGCTGCTGTCATGGACCCTCTTCCTGACGCAGCCCCTGCTCCTGACCCAGACCCACACACCCCAGCAGGCACATCTGAGGACTCTGTACCTGCTGCGAGAGAAGCACAACATTCATCGCCTCCACAACCCTCTTTCTCCCTCTCTTCTCCCACACATCTCGTGTATCTAGACAAAGTTGTCTCCCCTAGCGGCCGACTCATCCAAACCCTCGCCGTTGTCTCACATGTGACATACAACCCTGCAGACAACAAGTCTCCTACACCGCCTGGAAGGAAGGGGGAGTATTGTAGTGGATTCCTCCCCTACAAACGCCGTGTGTCGCTGACTAGCTGACCCACGAATTCACCAGCCTGCCCTCGTGTCCAAGGTCAGCAACCAGCGCCGCCTTACATGACTGAGGTCAACTATTAAGCCACGCCTACCCCTGCTATATAAGACCTCACCTCGTGGTGACCTACCTCTTTCTACCTACAGCCACCAGCGACACAACCTCCTCCTCCGCTCCTGCCTGCCGGCTCCTGCTCCAGCCGGCGACCATGGCGACCCACAAGCTGGTCCTCCTCTGGTCACCCTCACCAACCAGCTCTCCCTACTCAATGCTTGAAACCATGCTGCCTTCCCAGCACCAAGCTGCATTGTACATCCAATACAATATGTATACAGAGAGCACATTGTGAGTTTCCTTTCTCCATCCCATCCTGAGTGTGAACCAATATCATGTACCCCACAAATGGTGACCCCGAAGTGACGCACTCACACAGGATGGAGGAGAAATATCTCGTACCCCCACAAATGGTGACCCCGGAGTGACGCACTCACACAGGATGGAGGAGAAATATCTCGTACCCCCACAGTCTCATCTATTTTCTTAGACTCCACATGCCCAAATTTTCCCAGAGCATCTAAATTTCACGAGAATCCGGAAAAATACCAGCATTGGAAAAACGTAGTTATATCTCACATTTGTCATTATAATGCCCAAAAATCACTTCAACACCTCATACATTAAACCTCGGGAATTTTATTTTCAATGTACAGTAACAAAGACATTCACATGGTGGAGAAAGACATTACAGATAAACTTAAAAATGCTGTGGTAGATGTACCATTCGGAAATATAGTATCCTGGTGATATACTGTAGTAGTTATAATGCAGCAGTGACATATACAGTGGAGCTCTTTTAATAGATTTTATAGAAAGTTAATATTCAGTAAAATGAGTAATATTATGTCTGTAATAGTTGTAGAGGTACAGTGCAGTATCAGACACCCAGGCGGACTAACACACAGGAGGTAAGAAGTTGCAATGAAGTACAATGCTGACAATCAAGAAATAAATGATCGGTTGGGTAAGAATATGTCCAGGCGAGATTTCTCGTATGCATTCTTTTAATTCATAGATTATAGAGGAACTTAGAAACAACATATCAGTTCAAAAACTCTTAAATACAAAAAAAATCACGAGGACAAAGGAGGCAAGTTGCATGACATAGCTCACCTGATATGCCTATACTTACCAGTTGCCCCAAACAAGTTGCTTATGCCCAGTACAGTACTTGTCAAAGTTGCCAACAGTCCGTAACTGAGACGTGACCGACCACCCAAGCAGATAACGAGCCGATGAATGGTGAAGAGGACAAAAGTAAAACAAAAAAATAGACAAAAGTAAAAAAAATTAAAGTATTAACCCAGAGCTGCCCTTAGGTTCGACCTGAACTCACCAGCCTGTGTGAGAGTGTGAGTGGGCTGAACACCCTCTGCTTGTGTCGATTGGTCAGATAAAATTGTTGAACTTTCGTAAGTTCTCGAGGAAAACAGTAACAGGTGAAAATAACAAACTATTCAGTCAGTATTGAACTTGTTTCTGAAATAGTTCTGAGGCCGTGACTTTTACTCGAGTCTTGTACGTGAGGTACAGGGTATAAACACAGTTCGAGTTAATCGCAGTATATCAACACGGCAATATTTTTTTTTATTTCAATGGTAAACATCTATAAATATTTTGTAATGAAGTACCATAACTGCAAAATTACTTTTCATAGTGAAAATAAATGTCAAATGTCAAGTCTCGAGCAAAATTTAAAGAATCTTTGTATGTGTCGAGTTAATTTTAGCCGCAACCGTACATCACAGACCAAGTGATTTCAAATAATATTCCAGATTAAAAGAAAAATGATTATGAAAGAAATAAACTATTTTTTTCCTCTGTGGTTGCTGGAATGAGTCTCTAAATTGCTGGAGTAATTCTATGAACTGCTTTTCTAAACATACAAGTATGGCGTGTATGCGTGTGAATGTACGAGACGTATTTGTTTGTGTCACTGTGTTTTTTCTTTTCCTTTCTTAAACTCTCTTTCGCTAATATTTCTTCATTTCCCTCCTCCTTCTTTTCCCAATGTAACCCATTCCTTCCTTCGTTCACTCATTTTTTCTCTCCCTCTCTTGCACTCCTCTCCTCATTCTTTTTCCTTTACATTAATGTTTCACTCTTTCCTTTTTTTATTTTCTCCTACCTTCATATTTTCCTTCCCGTTATTCTTTCTTCTTCCATTCCCTCCACCTCTTTCTCCTCCCTTCTATCCATACCTTATTCCTTCTATTTTTCCTTTATCTGTTCCTACCTTTCTTCACTTTGCTCTTCCCCTTTTCCGCTTATTATTTCGTTCCTTCCTTCTTTCTATCCTCCTTTCCTTGTGATCTCTCCTTTATCCTCCCTTACTTCCTTCCCTCTATCCCCCCTCCCCTCATTCCTTCCTTCCTTATATCCTTATATCCTCCTTTCTTTCCTTTATTCCACTTCCAACACACACACACACACACACACACACACACACACACACACACACTTTTACTTACTTTTTACTTTTATCCTCTTCGCTACTGATCGGCTCGTTAGCCGCTTGGGCGGTCGGTCACGTCTCGCATTGTTGGCAAATAATGGGCATGCACTGGCTCTTGAATGTATCTGAACGGTCTGAACCTGCTCCAGTGTTGGTCAAGTCTCCTGGTCTTGTAATAGCTCACACACGGTGTCGTCAAAACACTCTCTGGCAAATTGTTCCAAGAGTTCACTACACATACACATATAAAGACACACACACATATTGCGTTATAAATTAAAATCCCCCCTTTTTTTTCATCTTTAGTGATGCCGACTTCTTAAACTTAACACAAACTTCGGCTATGTGATGCTGAATGCCAGGTTTGTTTTGGCTTCGTTTAATTACGTTATTTTGCGGGGTTTTTTTTAGTTTAACAAATTTATTGGCAAAGCTTGTAGTACAGTTTGCCTATTCTGAGTAATTCAGTCAGGTCTTGACACTGAGGGTGGTATCACTTCTCACTGCCACGCAGGACAGAGGTTCATGCACAAAGAAATACATCATATTCATTAACAGCTATAAATGTATAGAGGTCAGATTCATGTGGGTAATGTCACTGTTCACTGCCATGCAGGACAGAGGTTCGTACACAAAGAGATGCATCATATTCATTGACAGTACATATACATATATATACACACACATGCACATATATATACATATACATATATACATATACACATATATACACATATACATACACACATACACACACATACATACATATACGTAGGTCAGATTCATGTGGGTAATGTCACTCTTCACTGCCATACAGGACAGAGGTTCGTACACAAAGAAGGAAATACATCATATTCATTAGCAGTATATATAGGTCAATGGATCACATACATTGAAGTCATATTCTAATTGAAGACTAATCAGTGTGGGCTAGCAAATTTGGGATAAACAGCAAGAATGTCCTCAAGCACCCCTGATTCAATGTAGTAATTACATAGTTCAAGATACAATAAGTCAGGTGGCCTGAAGTCTTTAACAGTGTCACATTCAATAATATAGTGTTCAAGTGTATGCTTTAGAGCAGGGTTGTATGGAATTCTCCCCTACAAACGCTGTTTGTCGCTGCCTAGCCGACCCCACCAATTCCCCAGTGTATGCCTCGTGGTCTGGGTCAACCAGCGCCGCCATACACCACGGAGCGGGGGTCAACTGCTAAGCCACGCCTACCCCCGCTATTTAAGACCTGACCTCGTGGTGATCTCTCTCTTTCTACCTACACCAACCAGCCAGCAACACCTCCTCCTCCGCCTGCCTGGCGGCCTTCCTCGCTCCTCCGCCTGCCTGGCGGTCCTCTCTCCCGCTGGCGAGCCTATGACCCAGCACCAAGCTGCATTGTACATCCAATACAACATGTATATAGAGAGCACATTGTGAGTTTCCTTTCTCCATTCCATCCTGAGTGTGAACCAAACATCTCATACCCCAGGGGTTCTCAACCAGGGGGGGGGAACTGATACTAATATGGAAAAAAATAAAGGATTTTCAGTATTATATGCATATTATTTGGAATGCACTTTTTGAGGCAGACAATCTTGGAAAGGAGGGGGGAATGACATTCTGACATATGGTGAAAGGGGTGCATGGGGCAAACAAGGTTGAGAACCACTGCTTTAGAGGTTTATCACAAAGTTTACATGCTGAGTGTTCCGGTATGGGTACAGTGTTACTAATTTGCCAGATGTGTCTGTATCCTAATCTAATTCTGGCCACGACTACATCACATTGTCTGGTTCTGTCCTTATGCTGGCCATACCGGTACCTCTTGTCACAAAATTTGTCATATTTACTAATGCTACAACTGTCAGGTCTCTCTGCATTTCTCACTTCTTCTAGATCAGAGTTCATGATTCTGACTTGAATGTTTTTAATTACAGCATTGGACAGGCCAAGGTCACGGTCAACATTTTCTTTCTTACATGCCTCATTGGCCAGTCTATCAGCACGGTCATGATACCTGATTCCAACATGGGACGGAATCCACACAAATTCGATACGAAAGTTGTTCTCATTGGCAGTTATCACATTCCTTTTAATATCACATGCAACTTTAGACATAGAGCCTGACGGGCTGTTCATTGATTCCAAAGCACTTTGAGAATCACAGAATATCACCCCACCTCCATTTTCTTTGAGGTAGTCTGTGGCTAAGTAGATTCCAGTTAGTTCAGTTTGTGTTGTGCTGGCCCAGTTGTTCAGCCTTTGTTTGTTTGACACTATCATCTTTTTTTCTTTATATATTACAATTGCACAGCCTGTTCTACCTGTGTTTGTCTGCACAGAACCATCAGTAAAAGCATAACATTCACTTGATTTAATACTCTCTATGTGTCTGTTAATAGTTTCTAGTGTGACACATCTCACCACATCGGTGTTTAACATTTGCTTACTACCAACAGGAATGTAATTAATAGGAACTGATATATCCAGCCAAGGAGGAATGGCATTAATAGGTTAGTCTGGGGTGATTGGGACATTCAGTTTCAAGAGTAACAACCTATACTAAAACGAACCTAATTAACATTATTACATTTAAAATTCTTATTAACTGATTCAGGACTTGTATACCTGGCACTTGGATCATTAATCGTTCTGTCAACGTTGCATGATCATAGCCACAGGAGCCAGCCCGTACCCCCTCCACCGTCTGTGTTTGTTTATGTTTAGGTGAGCTTGGCTACCCACTGCCACTGGATCCCTGATGGCTGCTGGCGACGGTAAACAGTACGTAATATATCATTCTTTCAAGTACTTGATTTATCCATGTAATCCTACTTTATATCTAGGTAATATCAACGATAGTGTGTGTTTAAGTATAAATCCTTTCTTCGTAGATTTGAGGTTAGTCCTCTTGATCACTCTTGGTTTTTGACTAATTTACCTTGATACTCTTATGTTAACTAAGGTCTTATGTATTTAAAGATGCCATTACTGTATAATGGATGATTTTAACGGGAATGAACTGAGGTTAGGTAATGTCCAGTGGTTCCTATGTATTAAAATTAGGCATAGTTTAGTGATGGTGTCTTAATTTCAATGTACTGTAGTGTGTAGAGGCAAGGGTTTACTTCCTACAAGCCTCCGTGACAAGCCATTTTCAGAGTAGGAAATTGGAAATTGTTAGTCCTCAATTCTAGCACTAGGCCTGCAGACTACAAATATATTCAAGGAAGAAATCTTGTTAAGGGTGTAGAAAAGGGTGACCACCAGAAGTTGTTTGTTGATTTTCTTGATTTTTGCTATACGTATTGTTTTGATGATTTTAAGTATATTAAAAAAAGAGACAACTTTCTATTATAATTTTAAGTATTTTTTAGGATTTTTTTTTATTTACTCTATCCTGCTTCACAATTCTCCCGGCGCCATTTTTGTTGTTTTCGCTGAATCCCTTTTCAAGAGACGTTTCCTAAATGATGGTGAATGCTTCCACGTATTCCTCCTCGCCATTACTGATGTATATCAACGTCAGTATTAAGGTAAGCTGTTAACACATAAATTAACACGATAATGCGTAGAACCTAATAGAACCTGACGTAACAAACCCATAGGTTGGGTATGTTAGGTCAGGTTCTATTAGTTCTATGCATTGTCGTTTCCATTTATGTGTTTAATATCATAATACAGTATTAGTGTGCAGAAAAAATTTCAACCAATTCGAACAATTCCTTGTGGTGGTCACCCTCTTCTACACCTTTACCAAATTCTTCAGTGAATAAAATTTCAAAATATCTTAATTTCAGCCATTGCTGTTGTCAGCCTTTTGCACCAAAATGGGTAATTATGCCACAGCATGAAGATCAGAGACTCTTTTGGGTAAATATTTAGTAGTTGCCACCACCTATTTTGAAAATGGGTTTTTAAGTGTAAATCATCGTTTTAAATACAAACATGATCTTCATTGCCATTGGAAATGAGCAGTAGTTAAGATATTGAAAAAAGTGGAAGGTCAAACAATGTAAAAACCTAAAAAAAAAATTAGCCTGACCTTACCAACTTAACCTAACCTAACCCCTAGTGTGTAAGAAATTTACCTAAGCAAGAGATACAGGAAGATAGAGTGATGCGACGTTGAATGAGGAAGTGGTGTCTTCGTCAGTGTCCGTCTCCTACCACAGGCGATCTGCACGGTGCTGACACTGAATTACATCTGAGCAATAAAAATGACAACAGCTGCTGCTTTATTGTCCAAAATGTGCTGAATAATGCACCAGCCAGCCAATGTACATCCATCTCACACAGATGCCGTCTTCCAACTGGCCGTGAATGGAGTCGTGTTGATTAGCGCACGCGTATTACGTCATATCAACACTTGTTGCATGCCCAAATATTATAAAATATAAATTAAAATAACTCAAAAACTATAAATTTTCGACGGAAACGTTATAGAATAAAAATTTTTTTTAATAAATAGTTTTTTTCTCTATCCCCATATTACTGTACTCAATATTCAGTTAGGTGCTGGCAACTACTAAATATTAACTCCATTTTGGTCAAGTTATCCCATTAGGTGACTTTTAATCAACAAATATTACCAAATCAATAAAACTTACCTTTAGGCTTAAGACTATTGTGTCATTGCTTCCATGCGCTATGTGTGGTCTGATGAATCAAAACTAACCTATGGAATGATCTACCAGCCCAAGCTGTGGAATCATGAACAGTGTTGGGCTTCAAAATAGCCTTTAACAAAATCATCAAGAACAATGGTGGGATCCTACACAGGCCGCTGGCCTCCTTCCCTCAGCATGGTAAATAAAATAAAAAATTCAAGTACCTGTATGTTTGGTTTTGACAGGAATGAACCAAAGTTTGATAGTGTCACTGGTTCATTGTTGCAAAAATCAGACATTTTCAGTGATAAAATACTATATCTTTATTAAAAAATTCAAGCATTACTGACATTTATATATTTCTGCAGCCAGCAATTTGAAACAAGTTCTAAACTTCATTTAACGAACTTTACCAAAACAAACTGACTATAATGTGACCAATACAGTAATTTAAGACTGTTACATTAGGTTAAATTATATTTGTTATCTTGTCTGCCATCTAACAAAAATTACATGGTGTCTCCATCACCCTTGCTCAGCTGATGTAAAGACCGTGAGTAAATTTCAGTAAAGATAAAAAATACTAAAAAACTCGACTTGATGAAAATAACTGAATAGTACCTGCATATGGCATTTGAAGTCTTTAATTTGTATTAGGTAGTTTCATCAAATAAATTTTTTGAGTGAGTGCATACAGTATACAACAGTTAGCAAATTTTTTGATGGATATTGTACTGTACATTTGTATTTCTGCACGGAAAGTAAATTTATTCAGGGGAGAAAGGGAAATATATTACAAACCAACAAAAGTATGGTAGTGGATATTTACATGTGTATGTAGTCACACTTTGGATTCCCTGTAGTGTAAGTCCTGTATGTAGAAACTCATTTGTAGACTCTTAAGATGCAAGTCACTTCCAGTTCTGTATCTGTTCTGTATGATTATAGAAACAGTTCAAAATGATAATGAGTACAGTACAGTATTGTGATATTTCCTTATGTTATTTTATTACAGTGAATTCTTTATTCTGTACTATGAAGTATCCTGTTTTGGATCATTTGAAGATTTGTCTCACTAATGCTACTATGGGGGTTAGGTTAGGTTTGGCGTGGTTAAGCTTGGTTATCGTTAGAATAGTTGACAGTGTGGGACAATTTAGGATAAGAATTTCTGTCATTATTAGTTTTCTTTAACAAATATATTTCTTTTAATTTGTTTGTTATTAATATTGTATATTTAAAAATGTATTGTTATCAGAAATAAGGCCAACTTCTATTTATTTTCTTGTATTGTTTTCAGGTATGGCTTAATTTTGCCAAATAAAAATAAAGGCCCTCAACCCCTTGGCACGAGGAAGCTCAATCCCCTGCTGGACTCTGATGATGAGCTGGAACAAGATGATGAGGCGCCTCTTAATTGGGTGGAAGCCTCTCTTAAGGTATCCAAAATGTTTTATTCTGTAGATGCTGTAAAACTCTCAGTTTTTGGTAGATTAATGAAGTACCCCTTCTGCATTATTTATTTAATTTAATTTCACAAGGAGTATTGTATGTGCAGTCCATTACTGTTTTCAATATAAGTAGACGTCATAGCCAAATTTTCTTTTCTAATTGTATTAATTTATGGTGTTTGAATCATTCATCAGTTGACTCATCCCCCCCCCTCCCCACCAGTAGAGACTTATTGTTTGATGGTAAGTCAACAATTTGATTTACTGTGTAGGTGTAAATGTTTTGAGATGTAATTAAAAGTTACTTGATGATGTGCCAGTTGTGGAATTGACTACAGTCTCTCCTGACTTACGACATATTCGACTTACAACAACACGGACATATGACAGCCATGGTCGTATAAAATATTTTTCACAAACGTATTTCGAGTCCCGACGTTAGTGATTGCGCTGTGTACTGACAAAATTTTCGTTTGTAATTCCATTTAAAATGGCTGGTATGCTTAGAAGTGAGAGTTTTGTGGTGCTGAGAAAAAAAGAGACACCCATTTTAGATTTTCTATGTATTATCTTCGCATTTTCGACTTACGACCAATTCGACTTACGACCTGGATTTGTGTCCCTAATCCTGTCGTAAGTCGAGGCGTGGCTGTACATATTAATATTCACACATGCACAACCCCGCAAACATAAATATCTTTTCAATAATTATATACAGTAAGTATTTACATATTTACAATATTTCTTTTTTTTCTGTTTAGTAGTTGATGATGGTATGATATTGCTCAAAGCAAGGCATCAAGCACAGTGGAACAATCACACTTGTTGCATCAACACTAATGTCTTTGCACACTTTTTTATGTAACTGTGTTCTTGTTAGCTTGTGTTTAGGGCAGCAAACTTGAGAAGTGGTGAGGAGAGAGCAGGTTGGTGTAGTGGTGAGGAGAGAGCAGGTTGGTGTAGTGGTGAGGAGAGAGCAGGTTGGTGTAGTGGTGAGGAGAGAGCAGGTTGTGGTGGCAGGGTCAGTATACAAAGTCTTGAGCTTCCTCTCATGACCACCTCACTTCACTCTCCCTATCATACCTTGCTTAATAGCATCATTTGACTTTGAAGAGGGTTTTGGAGGGGCAGAGGTTGCTGAAACAGGCTGATGTGTCTTGAGAGGTTCCCATTTTTCATATTTTAAATATATTAATTCTTCCTGGCCATTTCAGACACCACAGGAATTTTAAGGACACAAATTCATTGATCTATGTAATAGTAGACCACTCAGAGAATGCCACTCACATACGTAGATCTACGAACTTGACCAGTAACGGGTTAATGAGTCCACTTTTCTTCACTCTCACAACTACACTGAATGTGCAGTGCTACTATAGCATGTGGTTCTACAAGATATTTAGGTTAGGTTTGGTTAGGTTAGGTCATATAAGGTTAGGATAGACTAAACATATATTTGTAGATTGCACTCTATAGTAGCACTGAATGTGCAATCACCAATTACCCTGATTGAATTGCTAGAAATGCTTTATGTTTTTATATTTTCTGTAAATATTCTTCATTACTTTTTAAGAATTGATATCGTATTTCAGAAATCAGCTGGCAATTCAGGACAGCAAAGCTTGCAGAAACGCTTACTACGAGAGGCATTGGAGGAAGATGCTTCTGTGTTCCAGTATGACGAGGTGTATGACAAGATGAAGGCCACCAAAAATGCTGAAACTGCTGCAAGGAAACAGACAGCAGAGAAAAAGGTAACAATTATATTTATTACTAAAATGTTATATAGTAGCGTATTAATTGGAGATTTAGGTGCAAGAGCTATAGAGAAATAGAGAATGTTGTAGAGAGATGAGAATTACTCGGAATACACAGGATGAAGAGAGACTGATAGAAAGTTTATGTTGAGAACAAGATGATAGTGGGGAATATATGGTTCATAAAAAAGAAATTCATAAGTATGCATAAAGGTGGGAGAATGGAGAAGATGGAGGTTTGCTACTAATGTCACATGGGCAGTATAACCTTGAGTTCCTAAGTGTACCATACTGTACTGCATAACCTCAACTACGGACACAATATTTACCTTCCCAGCCTGGTACTATACAGTATTTACTTATTGAACCACTGACAATAAGAGTGCATTTTCTTGACAAGTTGAAGGTAGGAGCCAGTGTGAGCCAGGTCAGTCAGGACAAAAGGTGTGAATGAGAATAGTGTCTAGTTATGTTTACTTTCCATGTAATTTTGTTAAGTACAGTAGATGCTGTACATTTGTGTGTATGGTTGAGTAATATTGATGTATTACAGAAGACTTGAAAATGTTCATATGTCTGAGATCCACGAAGACATTTCTCATGAGTAGTCAAGATATTCTTTAATTCAGTAACACAAAGGTTTTTCAAGACTATAACATGGATGTTTAATTTTAGCGGGAAGGCATAATTAATTATTGTACTAGTCCCTGCTATTACTGTCTACGGGTTACGGGTATTACCATAAGTCTGTTTGCAATACTTTGTGGGATAATTAATCCATGAGTCACAGAGTCCCAGATGTGGTCGTAAATGAGATCTTAAGATCACTCCTTTATTTATCTTTTGAATTTTAATTGAGCTGAGTTAGTGAACAAGACATAAAAATGAAGAAAAATATGCTAAAAATTTTTAAGAAAAGCTGATAAGCCTTGAAATTTGCTAATTTCTCAAGAATGGTTTCAGAGTATTGGATCAAAATTAGCAGACTTTTATTTGCTATGGATTACGGGAATATTACACTATGTTCCTGTTTTTCTTAATGTGTTTTAACTATTTCCAGCCAAAATACATCCACAACATCATAAAACACGCTGAAAAACGTAAGCTAGAAGATGAACGTCGTACAGAACGTAAAGTCCAAAAGGAAAGAGATGAAGAGGGCGAAGAATTTGCTGATAAAGAATCATTTGTCACAGCTTCATACCTCAAGAAGATGGAGGAACTGAAGCAGGCTGAAGTTGAGGCCAAGTTGGAAGAGATGCGAGAAGGTAAGAAGCAAATCCTTACTGAATGAAGTGTGATGAGAGTGATACAAAGAAACTGTCAACTGTACGGATAATTAGGAGGTTGACCACCGAATTTTCAGTAATCACTCTGATGGTCCAAACAGTTTTACAGTGGTGGAATTTCAAATTTACTGTGCATTTATGGTGAACAATAGCTGATAAAGATATCAACATGTTGTACCTCAAATGTATATTCTGGTACATGTGATGAAATGTATTGAAGTATCTAGTAACACTATGCATCTGGAAGTATCTGGCATCTGTAAACTCTGCTGAAGCCTGAATAGAATGCGCCACTGTTCGACAGCACATTTTATTCTGTGCTTAGGGCAGCCACTTTCCTATTTTTTGTGTACTTGTATAGTCTTTGATAGATAAAAAAGGTATTAATTTCAGCTTGCATATAAATAATACTGTACAGGTTTGCATCGTAGTACACATACTGCTTATTGTTTACATTCTTCATTAACAAAATTACCTGAATTTCTTTTGTTAATTTTAAACTTACAAATACTTTCAGAGGTATTGTGAATTTACCCTTTACATAACCAAGACTAATTCATTTCCTTTCCATTTCATTTCAGAAAAAATTGATGTGATGAGACATAAAAATTTTGGTGTGTTTTACAATCATCTGTTCAAACAAAGGATGGGTGACCTTGAAATAAAAAAGGAACCAGACAGTGAAGAGGAAGGTAGCAATGAATTTGAGACTATAAAGAAAAGAGAAGATTCCAAGCGGCAGAAGCACTATCGCACACAGCGAGACTTGAGTGAATCACCAGAACGACAGATGAGAGGCAGACCAAAGACTTTGAAACAGAGGAAGATGAGCTCAGACTCTGAGGACGAAGAAAGAGTCGAATCTTACAGAGACAGGAGAGACAAATACAGAGCCATGGGCGAAAGAAAGGAGGAAGTGAAGGGGAAAGACAGAGAGCGAGATCGTGATAGAGGGAGAGAAAGACATCAGTCCCCAGGTAGGAGGAGAGAGAGAGATAGAGGGGACAAATCAAGAGATAGAAAACGTGGAAGAGATCGCTCCAAAGAACGCCAGAAGAACCATAGAGGAAGGGACAGATCACGTTCGCGAGACAGACAACGCAGACGCAGCAAATCAAGGAGTCCTCACTCCAGGCGAGGCGATGAAAAACGTAGAAGAGACAGCCACTCTGATTCTCCACAAAAGAGGTCTAAGAGTAAAGATAGGGTAAAGGTGAAAGAAGAACCACGATCACCAAATAGAAAGGATAAAGCCAATACAAAGGAGAATATAAATGATAAAGAGAAGAAAGATATAAATGGTAAAGAGAAGAAAAACATAAATGATAAAGAGAAGAAAGATAAAACCAATAATGATAAAGTATCCAGTGAAGGCAATGTCAAAGTAAAGAAAGAGAATGAGTTAGAAGAAAAAGAGAAGAGACTTGACAGAATACGTAAACTCTTCACCAAGAGAACTGTTGGAGAAAAATTTGAGCAATCCCTTCAACGTTTTTATCAAAGAAAAGCTGAGAGAGAGTCACAGGGGTAGTTGAGTGCAGTACAGGGCAGAAAGAAATGTGTGGGAGAAAGAAATAATAAGTTGTGAGCAATATGTTACTGATGATGTAATTCTGTATGGTTTTAAATAAAAATTTTGAAACTCAGGGAATACTTATGATAATTTAGATAATTTTACATTGATAAATATGGTTATCCAAGAGTCAGCTCTTAAATGTTTTTGATAATTGAAGGTGATAAGAGATATAGTACATACTATTATTAATTCAGAGAAACCTAAGTAAGGGTTTTTTAAGCACTGAGGATAAAGTTAGTTTTTTCTACATATTTCTTATATCCTAAGCTAACCTAACTGGTACAGTATATATTAGCTTCAGCTCTGTAATAATGTTGCAGATTATTTTTGGTTACTTCCTGTGTAAGGCATTACAGGTACAGGTTGACAATCCCTTATCCGAAATCCTTGGAACCAGATGCATTTCGGTTTTCGGAATTTTTCGGATTTCAGAATGGTTAGTTTTTTTTTTTTTTTTTAATCAGCCCACCCAGGTACAGGTCACTGACCCACATTGGGGCCTGGGGGCTAAAATATAATAATAATAATTCATAGGTCTAGGTCGTGTTTCTCACTTTTGATGTTTTTTCATTCTTGTATTTATTATTATTATTTTATTACAGTATTATTGTTAATATTATTATTATTATTATTATTATTATTGTTATCATTCTTATTTTATTTTTGTGTATTTTTTATTAAAATTTGTATTTACTATGAATAATTATTATTATTACTGTATTATCATTATATTATTATTATTATTATAATTATAATTATTATTACTATTACATTTTCACCCCCAGGCCTAGATGTGGGTTAGTGACCTGTGCCCGGATGGGCTAAAAAAAAAAAAAAAAAAAAATTGCTCCACAAAAAACTTTCGGTTTTCTGAATTTCGGATAAAGGGTTGTTAACCAGTACTATACTTTGTTACTTTATAAATATGAATCAAGAATTTGCCATGCTCATATTTCTGATCATATAATCAGTGTAGGGAATTGTTACCTCTCCTTTTGGTATACTGTACTGTATAAGACTTGGTGCTTGAATGTATTTACTGTACATCATGTATACGATCCACCCCCCCACACTGAATTCTTTCATCTTGCTCCCAGTTCTTTCTCTTGACTCAAATAAGAGCTACTATCTTGGTCATTTGGTCATATTTTCAAGTTGCCATATCATTTTGAAACTATTTTTACAGTACAATGTATTTTTGATGCTTCATGCCCTGTGTGGACTTGAAGTATGGCCTTATGTAGAATCTCAGTGAAACATTTGAGCCCTTCAATAAATTTTTTTATATATAATCCTGCTTACCCTTTACTAATTTCTTAATTCTTTCTATTATGTGAACTTTATTATGCAGTACTATATATTTTATTCTATACCCATGTTTTTTTTTCTTCTTCCAAGCTATAATACGGGTTTAGAATTAAGATCAAATACTGTGCTGTCATAAATTGTTATTCAATTATTCTTAGTGCTGTGATAGATATGTTCTGCTCTGGTACTTAACCTTCACAACAACACAGACAGTTTTGTATATCCCTTAGTTTACCCCTGTTGTTTTGTACACAGAAGCTTCACCTCTCAGCAACACATCAATCATTCTTAATAATCACTCAATGCCATGCTCTCTGCTTATGTACCCACTGTGCACGTGTTACTGTCTTATTCCCATATAATCATTGGGAATGCCTGATGGTGTATCCGAATTTTATGTGTTTAAGGCCAATTGAGCTGAAAGCATTAATTAATGATGGGCTCAGTCACCCTCTCACTAAGTGAAGGGGTTTGTCCATCCCAGCTCCTGACCATCTAGGATACAACTAGAGCTTGGTGTGAGAGACTATTTAGTAATGTTTTTCCTTTGTTATGGAAATCTGGTGGTAAATAAGAGTCATTCAAGGAGTTATTATTACTTTGATACTACAATACAGTATATAACAGTACCGGTAATGTTTCATCTACTGTACAGGCAAACCTGAGTTGCCTGTGACTGAATCTTGCGATAGTTTATTTTTATCGCACTACTTTGTATTTTTGAAGATTATATAAACCCAAGCATAAGTCTCATACATTTGTACTACAGCTCAAATAATTCTTAAAGTTAACCCATAACCTGCATAGGTGATAGTATCCTAGACTTATGACTTGGATCTAATTTGTATATACCCTGTACTGTATTGTACTGTAGCTACTGTACCTGTTGTTTGGGGGAATTCTTTTCCATTCAGAAGCTCATAGCAGGGGCAGATCCAGAAATATCAAAAGGGGGGTTCCAAGAAGTTGTAGGTCGGGGGACATGGCAAGCACAGCAAACCCATCCACCAGGGGGGGCACTGTAAGCCACCCGATTTTTTTGGGGGTGGTATTGACCAATATCATGGACATTTTAGGGAATTTAGGCCATGTGCACTTGATATTAGGAGATATTCTGAGGTCAGTAGTAATTACTTTTTACTATACAAAAACACCCGAGTACAATGCTACATTAAATAAAAAGTATTGGAATTTTCTGATGAAAAGAAGGGGTCTGGACCCCAGGACACCCTGGTTCTGCCCCTGCAGAACCTCATTATAATTGACTGATTAGGTTAGGTATGTGATTATAAAGTGATGTACTACAGGAGGCAATGAAAGAGTACAGTATCTTAACCTAAGCTGATGAATATGACATTGTGTATATTCTAACAAAACTGAGTGCATCCAAGATGCTATGGACTTGAATTATCACATCTTGTATACAGTGATCTTGAGCAGTCTTCATGATAGATACAGGGACTGAAAACCGAAAATCTACTGTAATGTACAAGGTGAAGCCATAGCATTACCCTACCCTAACATATCAGGAAAAACTACCATCTTATTATCTCGATACCACACTGCCATCAAAACAATACACCATACTATTATTAAAGTATCATACTGTTATTAAAATACTACTGACAAATTAAAGTACTACATCACACTGCGGACATAATATACCATACCAACACCTTGGTGACCATACTGCTCTGAGAATATGCTATCAAAATCAGTGCTATAGTATATTGCTCTTAAAATACTCCACCATCATTAAAAATATCATAGTACTACTGTATAAAAAAAACTACTTAACCTTCAACGCAAGAGGCACAAACATGATAACCCAGCCATCCATTGCCCTCCCCCAACATATATAACTCCCTCAAGCTCAATTAGGATGAAGAAATATGCTGTAGAATGATGGACGATGCTGTGGCAATGCTTGAAGCTGAAGAATAATGATGCAGTTATGCCTTAAGATGAAGATTAATGTTGTGACTGTACTTTAGGATGAATGGTCGATGATGCGATTATTTTGTGGAAATCGGGATAATGCAGTGGTTTAGTTGCACATAAGAAAACGATGTGGTTGTTTTACTGCAATGGGGACAATGGTGGTAAGTGTTTTGCTGCAGTTAATGGTATGGTTGTTTTGCTAATGTGAGAACTATGCTATGACTTGCTATACAGAGGAAAATTCTGTGACTTGCTACACAGAATAATGCTGTGACTTTTGCTACATGGAGGATAATGCTGTGACTTGCAGCAGAGCAGTGATTTTTGCTTCAGACAAGCTCTCACTTTGGTAGAAGTGGAGAAAGTTTAGCCCCCGAAGGCGTTTATATAATTTGTTTGGATAATAGTAATTAATAAAAACTATGAGAACTTTTTTCCTTTATTCTTTTCTACATTTTTGCTGTATTAACTATCATAAATCACCTGTAGTGGGCCAAGAAATTAGTTATTTACCGTAAATATTCCACTGAAAATTCGGTCTTTGTTAACTTTAAAATAAACAGCTTGATTGTATTTTGTTTTCCATGTTAATAGGCTTCACTTTACTGATTTTTCTGCTTTGTCGGTGCAAATCCAATTTTTTTCTCTTGGCTTAATGGGTTCTTAAACCTATTATGTGTGTAAATGATGAGAATCCTATAATTAGATTCGAATCCCACATGATTAGTTTGGGATGTATACATTTCCCAATTGTTTGGAATATACAATAATTGGTTTCTAAGTAAACATAATATGTTCCACTACTTATTATTCTTCCACAAGGGGACAGATTCAGACAAACTCGCTATCTCTAATTTAACTACGTATTTATGGCGTTTTGTGCAGGTTGTTCTTTATTGTTTAGCAATTTATATGATCGCTAACCCTCAGATATAAGGACGTTACTCTGATTGAGTGATTAAATGAATTTATCTTCCTGTGGAGGATGAAGACCGTCTCCAAGAGTTCATCTGTCAACGTGGACTCGTTGGCAGGACGTGCAGTGTTCAAAATGCGGCAGAAAAATGAGTGAAGAAATATGTGTTAATGTGCAACAACCGACAAACGTAGAATTACACAATGCTTCTTCAAGAAAGTTGCTTTCATTGGCACCAAATATCAAAGTAAGTTATTTCCGCTTAATATGCTGGGAGGTTCTGGGATGGAGCCGGTTAGAAAGTTAGGTAAGGTTAGGTAGATTTGGTTGGTTAGGTCATGCGCTGTGCATTGTCGTTTTCACTTTTGTGTTTAGTATGCAGTTTGTATCTCCAGAAGTTTTGGTTCAATTCTGTAAGTTTTTTCTACTGCTAACCGTGTTCTCCACCTTAACTTTTGCTACACAGGACAATGCTGGGACAATCTTTTACAATGGTTTAATAATTGAAGGAAAACAATGCTGTGTTACAGAGAGGACAGTGTAGTGGCTATTGAGTATACCGATGTTGTAGCGTAGGGTATGTGGCCAGTTGTCAAATTTCTCTTTGTATGGCTCACATACATACGTACACGTAGGAGATCTCGCACTAAGGATGGAGGTAAGAAGGGGGTGGCCGGTAATAAAGTCACAGGAAAAAAAGTCACAGAAAAAAGTCACAATTTTGGCTAGGAAAAAAAGTCACAATTAATTTATGGTGGCCGGTAATAAAGGTTAGGTTAGGTTAGGTTACTGAAACTGATTGACATATTAACCTTAAAAAATATGTGAGAATTCGATAGTTAACTTTTCTTTTTTCCTGTGACTTTTTTACCTGGATTCAAGAAGGGAAACTCACAGTGGCGTTG